GAGTCTTGGATTCCCGGACGGAAATCACAGCAATTTCCTGTGATTGGCAGCGGTGTTTCTATAGGTTTTGAAGCGCCAGTGCCAGAGTACTTTAACGCCTACGTCAGAAATTTACATACATAAAGAAGATTAGAAGTTGAACACAAATAAGATTACAACATCGTGGGTTCGTAGCCTTATTAAAACCGGACCTCAGCGTTGATGGAAACGTATAATGTCACTCGCTTCTACAGTTACATTGAATGGTCTAACTGAACTAAGTCGCTAACACAAATTCTTCAAAAGGTGTAATTCTTGAATGAAGGAATGAATACTCTTTATTGCACTATTAGACAAAATAAAAAAAAAGACATAAAACACAGAAACGCAAACACAAAAGGCGGCCTTATTGCTAAGGTAGCAATCTCCAACAGGCAATTTTCTGAGATCAATTCTTCTGAGAATAGAAAAGATACTTTAATAAGTTATACTCGAATAAGCTTTTCAATGAGCAGGTTGTTATTAGATCATGGTAAAATATGCAGTATCCACCAGCAATTGAATTGTGTAGGATGTTAATTATTACAAGGTCATCAGGTTTCAAATGAATGTAAGAAGTAATTGTCGATAAGCTTGTCCTTCAACATTCGCTTCTAAATCTAAATTTGTTGATGAAAATTATGTTTGTTGACTATCAAAATACTATATTAATGTCAAAGTTTGAATATTTGTGACTCGATTCATAATCAACCCGCCCGCCTGATGTTGGGTGATTATGTTCACTTTTTATTTCTACTACACAAAAACAAATATCTATAATAATGTTGTATACAGCATCAATTATGGCATTGCAAGTTTTTGCGAAATACCTATGTTCTATTGCACATAGTATTATCCGAATTTATGGGTTACATTAGTTCACCGTGCTACATTTAATACTGATACAGTTATTACATAACAAATATAATTCTAGATAATAAAAGTTATGGAAGCTACAAAAAAAGGACAAAGATCAAAGACTACGTCGCCAACTTGTGTTTACTTCTTTGAAGTTACAGAATATTCGAATGAGATTTCTAAATCTCCACGAACAAAGGAGTTTTGTCGATTAAATTACTGAATAATTGAAATATAAACAAGTACAATCATCGCAGTTCTAATGGATTAAATAAAATAAATATGTCAGAAAGTAACAAAAGGGCGGCGGTCAGTCGCTTACTAAGTTATCAGGTAGGTACTAGGTACCTTATTATGTTCTGATAAAGACGAATTAAGCCTGTGTCAACGTTCATGCCTTTATAATGCAATGCGGGAAAGTTCCAGATAAGAGGAATTTATAACTGACTTGTATATAACCACCAAAGATTAATACGAAAAGAAACGATCTTTGTCAGATTCTTGTCTATTCTATGAAGCTGGATAGCTCGATCACTTTTGCTTGGTGTTTACGTCGTTTGCCAAGTTTTGATACATACTTGGGCGTTGAATCACATTTGTTTTTGTATTACGTCATAGAATGTCAGTCCCCATAATGACTAATTTATTTATCTTGGTCAATTCTAATTTTAGAATAGGTAGGTACCTACTTTGACGACCTCCGTGGCCGAGCGGTTTGTACGCCGGGTTTCATGGTGTCCGGTGGGGGCAGATGTTTGTGTGATGAAAACGAGCATTTGTACTCCAGTCATGGATGTTAAATATGTATTTTTATATAAATATACTTATATTATGTACTCTATATGTATTCTATCCATTACCCTAGTATCCCATAATACAAGCCTTTCAGTGCTTACTTTGGGGCTAAGCTAATTGGTGTGAGTGTTGGAAATATTTATTTATTTATTATTATATGTGTCCAAATATTATTGAATGCAATATTGTGCAATAGAATGAATATAAAAAACAGTAAGTACCCATAAACTCACGGTTTGGAAAAAACGTCAATACAATAACACTGCGTTTATCACATTTTTATCTATAACGATAAGACATTACGTTTTATACAGTACTTTGATTTACAAACATAACATTGTTAAATAGTCCAGTCAGTATTGTCGCGAAATCCGTTTTTCCTCAAACAGCTGGAACTATGCTAAAAAGTTTCTTAAGATAGTAAAGAACACTTTACATAGAGAAAAAAATGTTTCCAACCCCGGGCAAGGGTGAAAACCACCCTTAATAATCTATTTTTCCAATTATCTCAAAAAGTATACGAGATACGGAAAAAAACTTCAAATGAAAATTGTAGATCTTTTTGAAATCTACAAAACATTATTCCACCCTCTTGCCCCTATTTTCAATAGGGGAGCCAATAATCGAAGTCAAAGATTCAATACTTAAAAAGTTAAAGTTAGTTAAAAAAGTTATCTTTGACTTCGATTATTGGCTCCCCTATTGAAAATAGGGGCAAGAGGGTGGAATAATGTTTTGTAGATTTCAAAAAGATCTACAATTTTCATTTGAAGTTTTTTTCCGTATCTCGTATACTTTTTGAGATAATTGGTTTTCACCCTTGCCCGGGGTTGGAAACATTTTTTTCTCTATGTAAAGTGTTCTTTACTATCTTAAGAAACTTTTTAGCATAGTTCCAGCTGTTTGAGGAAAAACGGATTTCGCGACAATACTGACTGGACTAAAAAGTATCAGCAGAATATAGTGTGAGCTTTGTACAACGAATCTATACTTATTATAAAATGGTGGGAAAGTTAAAACTGTACACTGAATATTTTTTTAAAAGAATACTTGGGTGTGATCTACATTCGATACCGAAGCCAAAAATATAGTTTTTAAAATTTTTGTCTGTTTGTCTGTATAAATTCGTCTGTATAAATGTTTCCGGGATAAACTCAAAAATTACTGCATGGATTTACTTCAAATTTGGCACGAATATTATTACATATACATTGCTACATATTATCACGCTATCACCTACGGGGAACGAGCAGTGAACCATTATTTCTATCTAACTCCACGCGTACGAAGTCTCGCTAGTTTATTTAATAAAAATAACTTTGGAACGGGTTATAGAAAGTTGCAATTTGATTTTAGATTTGCGTTGTTTTTACATTAACACACGTCAATATCGTGTAAAATATTCTTAACGTTTCTTGTATGTTGTGTGTGTCTTAATTACTATCTTAATTAAGATAAACCTATCACGTTAATGGACGCCATTAGCTCCTAGCGACACAGCCAGACATGGAATAAGGTGCAGTCCTAATCTGTGGTACAGTACAGTTATAGACAGATGATGTAAAGTCAGATTACCAAGTTCAATTTAAAAATGAATATTTTTACATTAATCGTATTTTTTAACATCGTAAATAACACAGATATTTATATTTAATACCCTGTTTAGGATTTCTACGCAATGCTAGGTAGCCTAATATTCTTGCCTACATAGAAGTTTTTTTTTATATATAACTGATGTACGTTTCTGTCTTTTTCTGTACCTATAAAAATATGTTATATGTTTAAAGAACGTCCTCAAAATTCAAATAAACACACAGGAATAGGATTTTAGTGGATTATGCAGCAACCTATAAAATTTGTAACAACATCCATAATGGATGGTTAGTCTTGGGAGAAGAAAAAAATGGCTTAGATGGGCACTAGAACGTGTAGCCAGCAGCACCACTAATAAACCAGTTAACATTTCAGTTTCAATCGTTGCCAAACAAGCGTAAACGGAATTCACCTAGTTACGAGTATCTGACGACCTAGCGAGCGATAGATGTGGGACCAAAACATCTGTTTTTTAAACTTCAACCGCGCGTGCACACATCAAACATACAGCCATGTTTGTGTTCGTAATGCTGGAGTTATTCTATTTTGGTGTGCAATGCAGAGAATTTATTTTTTTATGTGATAACTGGTTGCGGCGTTTCGGTGATCCGGTATTACTGTACGTACATCTTATGGCCCGGATAAGGCTTGCCGCGGTTTCATTCATGCACGCTCACGACGTGTAGGGGGGCCATTGTGTACTCATTGAAAACTGGGACATGTTACATTTTCAGAAAATTTCATTATTTATATAAAACTGTAAATAGGCATTTCAGTTCTAATAATATTTGATAGGAATTTAATTTATTATTTAATAGTTGGTGAAAATGTAACCATTTACCTTCTTGGTTGTCGCTTTGCATACTAACTATATTAAAAAAAAATAGGTCGCTAGAAAATATTGAGTAGTTTCATTTTTTATTTAACCGTACATTTTATATTTAAATAAAAAATATAACCTTAAAAACATTAACACTATAGCTTATTCCAGCTTAAAGTAGCAGGCGCTTAAATGGGTTCATTTTTATTTGTCTATCAAATGTTTTATTGCGTTAATGAAACACGTACATAAAAGTTGTTACCTTATAAATTTTGTACTAAAAGTAACCTTCTTTTTAAACTGTTTACAATACAGTAACTATGTAACAGTGTGTGTAACTTACAGTACTCATCAATGCACGACTGAATATGTGTTTAGTAAAGTTAATGAATAAAATCTATGGGTATGTTATTGGTATATTACGTATACTTTTATAGTAGATAGTCAAAGATGTTTCGGTATCGAAAAGGTTCTTTGATTTGTTACAATAACATTTGTTCTGTGGGTTTTTTGTTTTAAGCAGGTAGCTTAAATTATTTAACTAATTTATAAAGATATACGAGTATGTTGTCCTCTCACACATAGCAATATCAATCAATTTATGAGGATATAAGGATACATTAATAAACTCTTCTAATGTCGGTGGCTTAAAGATATCTGACTATTTGTAAAAGTAGTAGGTATCTAAAGTAAAACTATTCTATCGATAGTGTTTATATGCAATACATACGAAGAAAATTTAAGCTGTTTTATTTTCACGATTATCATCATGCATGATAATCGTGCTGCAATGCAAATTATTCCTGGCACAAGAACTTGTGAACATTCATATCGTATAGTTTAATAATAAAAAAAAAGTAAATATTAAGATCCTTTGCCCATCACAATGGGGATAAATTGAAAAAGTAAATCTCACCATTTCTCTCTTGAGGTAAGTGAGTTGAGAGTCGAGGTCAGTCGGGGGCGGATCGGCGGGCGAGGTGGGTGTGACGTCCACCTCGGGCTCTGCGTCCGCAAAGCCACTCAAGCTCTTCGGCAGTGGCGGTAGACCCTGCAGGGACATGGTGCTGATCGCTCGGAACTGCTTGCGTAATCTGCACAACACATTCGATAATTAGCTGATGATATTTCAATTACAGTGGCGCAGGTGGAAAGCGCGGTCGGACTGCGATCGTGGAAGTAAAGCAACTTTCACAATGGTCGGTCATTGGGTGGATGACCAAAAACTTATTATCTCGAGCTCCTCCGTGCTTCCGAAGGTACGTTAAGCGGTTGGTCACGGCAGCAATTACAGTCGTTAGCAGCAACAATTCCTCACTGTGCCCGCGTGATAGGACATATCATGTCTCAATGGAATGAGTGATACCATCCATAGGAAATTATTTACATGGTCAACAGTTACGTGGAAACCTGAATACCTATGCACTTTTGGCATGCTCTCGCACTTTAAATTACTATGGAATAAAATACAGCTTATAAATCGTATTTCGCCTTCATTTGCATAAAGATACTACCTACCTACATAACTGCTGTTCATATTTCGATACGTTCATTACTCATATTTTGATGGTAAAGGGATTTTAATTCATTGACCTTTATGAATAAGGAAATAAAACGAGCAGGATATGCACAAGAGTGAATTTATACTTGGAATCAGCGAAGTTGGATGGAAATGTCTACAAAAATTACAATATTTATTTTTCATATAGTATTACGAGCCAAGTTTAGAGTATACCTACGTTTTAAACTTCAAGGGGTCGACAGAACATTGAATGTGGTCTTAATCAAAATTTTAATCATGATGACGATTCAGGTATAGTTTTTTATGTTAAAAGGCAAAATTGGCAAATAAGCAATATAGCGTGCCTGATGTTAAGAGGCCTTGACCCAATCCCCTACCCCGTAGTTGAACTCCTAGAACCTTAACCATAGCTGTAGATATTTCAAATATTATTGATTTTATACAATGGCTGGTTTTTTTAACGTTAAACTCGGCCCAGGCGATCGTCGGACCCGAGACTAAGCCAAGCAAACAGACCAACCATGAACATCGCTTCGCCTACATCAGTCAGCACAGAATATGTTATAGATTATTAACTTGTTTAAAAATAATGAAGTTTCTATATTTGTAACAGAATCAAATACAGAGCAAAATAATGCTTACAGGTCGGCACTGAATTATTAAGATATTAGTGCTAGTTTTTAACACCCAACTATGGCTTCATATGAATGGATATTGTATTTTATTTCACCAATAATTCAACAAATAAATTGATTTATTTCAAGCCTGTGGTTACATATTCTGTGGTTACATACTTTATTAATACATTTATTGCCGGAGGAAATTTAACTCTTAAATCTCTTGGTGATATAAAATTACAATATATTTCTGAAAACTGTACATTTATTTCTGCCTCAGCAGCCTCACAAAAGTGGCCTTCAATCGAAGAGACACTTAATCATGTTAGTAAAACTACAGCTGAGACATAAAGGGGCACTGTGTAACCAGTGCGATTCTCATACGCCGACACACGAGGATTCGTGACCGCACTGTTATAGCGCTGTGCTCTTTAAGCGACCTACAACTGCGTAAATTTTGTGACGACTAACCGGATAACGCACATAACCGGGTTTCGAATACGATTAAGCTTTTAAAATTACCGGCAACAATAACTGCGATAGACGTTTTAACAGATAACAAGATAACGAATGTTAGTTATTAATTATTAAATAACAACGTACTACCTAGATTTGAGATCGTCATCTAAAATGTAGGCATAAGTTTGATCATATCCATCTTCAGTGTTTCCACTTGTCACTGAGGACATTGCGTAAATCTGATCCGAGTCTTCAGAATCACATAGTCCATTTTTATCTATTGACTCCGTAGGAGTGGTTTCCTTGGAGTCTAACATTTCAGGCACGTTAGATTGCGAGTGCATTGTCTGCAATTCGTATATCAACATCTCGTGATTGTTCATGTCCTTCATCATTTCAATCTCAGGCGATTCATTGCCATTAGTCAGCTTCTCGGAATCCTTCCCTTTATCTATGACTGTGTTCTCGTTATTTTTGCTACCGCTCCTACTCGCGAGGATTTCCGAAATTAACATTTCGGTGACTCGCGAGGTTTTACGTTCTAGGGAATTGTTATTTTTGTTTACACTTTCGTCACGTTTCGGACTCGTAGGAACGTCACGAGTATCCGGAAGGTTATTGACTTGTTTCGATGGACTGTTTCGTAATCTGTCATCGAATTCCTGGACTTCTTCGACTGTAGCATAGGGCGCTTCTGGCACTAAGTTCTGTGGGGGTTTCGCATCTATTGGCGAAGAGTAAGGACTTATATCGGGCGACTCTTTAGGTGAACTACAACTACTACTTCTAGAAGTTCTCTGTACAGGCAATGGTTTCATTGGTTTAAGCTTAGGTTTTGGTGATAAAGGCGGCGGAGGAGCTTTTCTTAACGGCAAGGTTTTTTCAGCAAAACTTGATGATTTTGAAACTTTACACTTCCCATCTTGGTCTAGTTTATTGGATGTCGATAGTGATCGCACTAATATTTGCTTACAAGTTTTTACAGCTTTGGAATTAAGCGACTCGTTGGATCTCTTAGCAGCCGGTATTGGTATAGTGGTGCTGTCACTCGAGCTCCTCCTAGAGTTTTGTCCACTAGACCTCCTTTCATCAGAAGACGAGCTCCGGTCGCTAATAACATCTCTGATGAACGACTTAACGCGTGCCAACCCATTTTGTTTAGGCGATACTGTAGTTTGATTTACAGTGTTCGATCTATCCAAGGTTTTATATTTAGCGGTGTTCTCTTGTTTGGATAGTGTGCGTGACTTTGTGAGGTTGGCTTTGGAATCGGCAACGGCCTTCCTCGTCTTCGCAAGGGCCTCAGCCACCACACTCTGGTTTGGCCGCGGAGGGACCGGAGGAGGTCCCTTCAGCTTGTTGCTTTTCATCGGTTGCGTGTTCGTCTGTACCATCAGCATGCTTGAGTGAAGCGTCACTCGAACAATACTATAAGAGGAAAACTATAGTATAAAGAGCGCGTTTGCACTTGCACCGGAATAGGCCACTTTACACTCGCGAGCGCTCAAGACGCGGGGTCAACGCGGCCGTCCCCGCGAGCGCGCGTCACTGACTGCCGCCCGGCGTTTTAACAACACTATCCGAACAAATAGGCCCTCGCTACGTTCTCGTATCGGCAATCGGCACCGTAAGTTTACCTCCGCGACTTGGAAATTACTTTACGAAGTGTTGCCTATATCGGATTTATGTGGTCGCGACGCCGAACAATAAGTTGACCCACACTTGTAATAAAGTAAAAGCGATTGTTTTCTATGTGAAGGCAAAAGTACTTACTAAATATCTATTACGCGACGCACGTGACATTTCATTTTTTGTTTGTTATTTTTTAATCATTTTCTGATCTATTATTTGGAAATGTACCAACAACACTTATATTGGGAGTACTAAAAAGAAAAGTTGGTAATCAAATAACCATAAACATTTTTTTTTCCATCATAATTCATTTCTTTGGAAAACTCTGTAGTCCATTGAAACTTCAACTTTCATAAATTGCACTAAAAGTAGTTAAGTAGATTTGTTCACTTATTATTTAATTTATAATGCTTGAGTAGTGAGTGCTAGTATTATCTTACCAATAAATCATAAAAAAAATTATATGATATCAGGCACCTAACATACAAATGTTACTGTGTAATGTCAATATTAATTAACTTATGACAGACTGATCGCTTTTAAAAGATTAGAAAATATTTTTAGTCAAAATATTTATTTTTGATAAGTGTCTGAACTTATATTGTTAATGCAAAATTTCAAGCAAAGCTAATTCCACCAAGGTAGTCTAAACTTTAATTATATGAATCGTACAATAGGTCGTCGTAGGTTTGTGGATATCACAGACTTTTATATATTTTTGGATACTACTGGCCACCTAATGACCTAAACTCAACTGTTTTAGTTTTTGTGCAAAGGAAGAATAGTAAAAAGAATCAAAACTTTGTAGGTAACCTATGTTAGGTTAAATTCTTTTACCCGATCCCATGGAGCTGTGCAGTCATCTTGTTTATCTCAGATTTTATCTAGCATGTTGTGGAAGCAAACCTTACTTTGAGTATAAAAAGTGAAAATGAATAAAACTTTCTTCTTTAAAATGAAGCCTACTTTTAGACAATGTTAGATGACAATGTAAATCAAAGTGCCCTAGCCTCTACAATAACAAGCAGTACAAATGATTCATGTCAAAATAATATACAATTAATAATTGAAGAATTAAGAATAACCAAAGCATCTATAACTTTTATCAAAAAATTAAATGTAACTAACATTTCTTACATATTTGATTTATATGTAGGTCTGAATACTCTTAACTAAACTTCTTATATTATAAAATATTGGCTCACTTGTTTATTTTTAATTGTATGTCCATATTTAGTAGTAATTTGTTGTAATACAAGGAAATGAGAAAAAATAATTTAAGAAACATATTTTAAATATAATTTTGGTTGTGATATGATGGTGATATTTTATCTTCTCTTTTTGATGTACTACACTATTGTAATAAGGAGTTAGCATGCGTAAATCTGTATTGTGAATAGGTACTTACTATTGGTCTCTTATTATTTGTTATTGAACTTCCAGTCTTGTCTGCACATAGGACACTGCTGTTGAGGTTGAGAATGGAGCCACTTGACAATGCAATGGATATGGAAGCAATGCGAACAGGCACCCCACACGAGAGGGCAATCGTCGCCGGGCAACTTGCAGTCTGGACAACAACTATCAAAAGGCATACGACAAATACCACAGTTGTCGTCGTTTGCCACCCAACGCCAAGTAGCGACACCAGTCCAACCTTCGAAAAAAATATTCCTCTCAGTAACACGAAACTGTTGCTATTCGGTCATGCTGCTGATCGTAACTTACTTTTAATTGTGACTTTCATATCTTCGTGACGACTAGATTTAATAATAGTTAGGTACTTAACTTAAGGGGAAATAGGTAAAACATAGAGAAAAGTAAAAGGTAAAATAAATTTACATTTTAAAATGTTTTCAATAATAAGAAATCGAAACGAAATGAAAACAACTGACAGTTGATTTGACAGATGCAAAGAGTAAAGTAAGTATACCAGACAGATGGTTGGATGCAGTGTTGCCAACTCGGATTTTGAAAAAGGCGTAGGCCCGATGAGAAAATTACGTAGAATTGGTAAATTTTGCATATGAAATGTAAGTAGATCTACGTACTTTTTTCTGAGTGAAATAAAGAAGTTACTTGAAACCGAATAAAACGTGTATTTTGTTATACAATTTGTTTATAGAACAAAGAATTCTTGGAGAAGTCACTGCATTGGAAGCGTTTACCATGCTGTGGTAAACATTTACCATCAGACACAGACACTGGTGGGTGCCGATTCTGGATGGTTCTCTAAATTTAAAACTTAATTTAACATCAGTCTCTCCTTTTCATTCTGTATAGAGAATGACAAGGATAAACTGTAGTTAAATGGGCTAGTTGACACTTTTTGGAATTATGTTTTAAATTGTTAACAATTGTTCTATCAGAACGAAAAAAAAATTTTTTTTTTTACCTAGAAGACATACAAAAACGCTCTTTAGTCTATAGACTTATCTATGCTATGACGTCAAAACATTTGTAAACAAACACACGCAAGCACGTAGGAAATAAACTTTCTAAGTTAATATTATAAAACCATGATTTCTAATAGATTTTCATACATGAAAAATATAGTTGTTATCATGATACACTTGGTAAAAGACTCTAGAAAAGTTGTGGTTTAAATTGCCAAGAGAAAAAACATACTTACTTACAAATCCTGCGACCAGCATTAATTTAGTCTACAAAACCAATAACGGGAACCTTTTCTACAAGATACAAGAGTGTTTAGATACATCTTTATAATAAATAAACATTTGTATAGTTTTTAAGTAAAGTAACGGAAAATATTCTTCTTTATTCTAGTGAATTAAGTTATTTTACAAATTTGAAAAAAAATAAGAAAATACGTAGATTCTGGGACTGAAGTAAGTAGGTTTCCAGAAAAGGCCTAAAAAAATGGTTGCCTGTAAAGTCGGTTTTACGGGCGAAGATTTTACGTGACAACGTCTTTTTCTCGGTAGAATATTTATTGATATGAATATAATTAAATTGCACAATAGGAACAAGGAATTGAATGAAAATAAGAATTGCACAAATTTTAACTATAGAAATATATTTTGTTTACTAAAACATTGTACATGTAAACTTAAACTTAACACGAGAGACTCATCGTAACGTTACCGAGCGTTACACTTTTTCATAAGTGACTCCCAGCCGCAACCTAATTTAAGACGTTGTCACGTCAATACGTAGATCTACGTAAAAAGACGTAGAGTTGGCAACACTGGTTGGTTGTCACAACTAGGTCGTTCCGAACCTCTGGCGGTTGGAATTTTTTGACCGTCTCAAGAGCGGGTTATAAAAAATCTGATATTAAATGACAAATGCCATTTATAAGCGCGAAAATTTGAATAATGGCAACATAGAAATATTTTATGTTATGTAAATAAATAGTAAGATGTATATATTTGTTATTTTATAGATAAATATCTTGCTTATGGGTAAATGGAAGACCGGAAACAATAAAAAGACGCAAAAGGTAATATCAAGCCACCGTCATGAAGAAGATACAACAACAATACCTGAATTTTATCCACGTTTTTCTCTAAATACTTAGGAGGAAAAACACTTGTAAAAAAAGAACTTTAAACAAAATGAAGACTAGGTTGTATGAGCGTTGTTCCCTTTGCCTTCTCTGAAAAGGTAGAATGTTAAAAAAAACATTGTCAGTTGGTTGTCAAAGACAACAAAGAAAATTTAGCTTTGCGTGTGTTGGAACTTATTGGAATCCCAATTTATAATATTAAATTATTCCTTAAATTATCCCTGTTACTGACAAAATAGCCATGACGACCTTTGATTCGAAGTATGACGTAAGTTTCCGAGTGTCTATATAGTGTCTGTAGAGTGTCTTATAATTAATTTTATTCATGTACCGTGAGAACAAAGTTTATCTGGTGAATAATCTGTCTGATGAGTCTTATATTACACTTAGTATTACCAAGTGTTACTTCCAATTTTAAATAATTATTATTTCAAAAGAAATGTTGTATATACTAAAATTGTCTCAATAAATTAAACATGTGTACAACAACAACAATAAAATCATAACACAAACATCATTTTTAACACACATAAACCTAGATTTTATCCCATTCAAGGGAGCAAATAATCTGTCTGTAATATCATCTTAATCTGTTTAATTTACAAAATCTGAGCATTTAATATCAATATTGTTGTCATATGTTCTTTAATTATTGTTTTATTCAATGTGAAGATGTTTCCTTCCGGCGATGTGGGAGTGGTGGAAGGTGAGATGAACATTCCGAGACAGAACCAGGCACCAGGGGAACCTTTGGAGTTCAACACATTAGATGAACCAATTAAGGAAACATTTGTGAGTTACAAAATAAGTATTAAGTGTAGCCTGACATGTGCAAATAGTCTTCTTAATATTTTTTCTTTTGTTTTGTTTCTTAAAAAATTAAGTATTATTACATTAGTTATAGTTTTTATTGTTTTGTAGGTATACTCATCAAAAAAGTTGAACTTTTGAATGGTATTTGCTATTGTAATATATTTATAATAGCCATTTATATTTCGACACATAAAAGATTGCATACTGGGTTAAGAAAAATGAATAGTATTCCATAACACAATCCTTACAGTGCTTATTTTGGGGCTAGGTTAATTGGTGTGAGTGTTGGAAATATTTATAGTTAAATGCTTAAAAAAAAAACAACTATTTATTTTATTTTATAATTCATGTTGCTTAGACTTTTTTGATGTGTGTATTTTTAGATGCAAATTTAGTATATTTGATTTGAATTGCTTTTTGTTCTCTAGTTGACATATAAAAATGTAACATCTTAGTAATGATAGAACTATCCTTTTGGCTTCTAGCTCCGAGACCTCAGAGCAGTGGGCAACAAATTTTACCATGTTCTTATTCCTAGAGAGAAATCCAGTTTACTTAAAGAATGTGAGTATGTAAATCTTTCACAAATATTAATAGATGTAGTTACATAGTTGTTTTTGGTTAGTTCCAAAATATTAATAGTTATTAAAAAAATCTTTAATGTCACATTTAATTGATATTAAAATAAGGAGAAATATTTTTGTAAATCTAAGGCTGGCACCAACCTCAAGAAATAAATGCTATATTTATATTTGTTTCTTAGGTTTTCACGCACATCACTCATTAAATAAAACTAGTTTTTACGGGTTAATGCCACGAAAACTTTATTTGTTTAATGACGTTTCGTAGTCTTTACAGGCTACGTCGTCAGAAATAAATAAAGTTTTCGTGCTTTAACCCGTAAAAACTAGTTTTATTTATGCTATATTTATTTTTATAATTTATTTGGTGGCTTTTTCAAGTCTTGTGTGTTTACCTCTTGGCTAATGATATTGTGCCTGATTCCCTAGACTGAAAACTAAGTTTAATTGCATCCCTCCTATTCATTCTATATAGTGCATAAAGCTACACTACTATCAAATTTACTTTTAGGTTTTTAGGGTTAGTGAATCAGGCCCAATGTCGCTATTGTAAGGAGGAAGCGGATATTCCCCGCGGGAATGGAGCGCCCTTCTGGGGAAGTAACCTCCGTCTTACAGAAGACCATAGTCATATAACTCTACCTTTTGGTGGTGTTGTGTTTTTGTCGTCTAGTAAGGTCCCAGACCTCCACAGAGGATTGGGTCAGAGTAGACAACGGTGCGAGTGTTAATTATTTGTATCGCAAGCGGCTTAGGCTGTTGCCTTCGAGCACTCCAATTTCCTGCATCATGATGAAATAATCTTGAGTAAAAATTTTCATCATCATCATCAGCCTATTAATGTCCCCACTGCCGGGGCACAGGCCTTCCCTATGGATGGAATAGGGAGATTAGGCCATGAACCACCACGCGGGCCCAGTACGGATTGGCGGGTGCTAACGACTGCAGATGCAGCCAGGACCAACGGCTTAACGTGCCTTCCGAAGCACGGAGGAGCGCGAGATAGAAAATTTTTGGTCACCAATCCAATGACCGACCACTGTCAAAAGTTGCTTAACTTCAACGATCGCAGCCGAACGCGCTAACCACTTGCGCCATCGAGCTCCTCATAAAAATATTTCTTGCCTACTTTTCTACATTACTTACTTACTTCAAAGAATGTATATTTTTTCTGTTTTTTATCAACACACTGAGCGTGTCTTCAACTCTTTTAATTCTTGTAATTCTATCTCATTAAATTAATTTCTTTTCTGTACATTCTGTTCTCTTCTATGTAGCTAAAAATTTTCTTCTTTCTCTTATTATGTTTTTTTCGCCATTATAATAATTTTCTGCTCTTACTATTATTTAACCCATTAGTCTATTATTTAATTATCATGTGTTACCTGGCAGAGATAAATGTTTAGTTATAAGTTAAGTATGGTAACGCTTGCACATCAGCCAAGGCTGATATGGCAATGTCACCGATAACTTCGGATTATTACGACGGGTCGCCGGCTGTCCCGTTCCAGAGAACACAGAGTTTTTTAAGTTTAACTATTTGTAATTGTAAAGCAATATATTAAAGTATTTCTTCATCAACAAATTGAGTTTATTTCCCCAAAGTCAGTGAATTCCACTGCATTGAGGCACTTTTTTTATATAGTTAGGTATAAGACCCATTCACTAACAGTCGGAACATTAATAAACTGATGATATGTCTGTGTATGATTGATGTCTGTGTCTCTATTTCTATATTACAGGGGATCTCTGGGGTCCACTTCTGCTGTGCACACTCATGGCCACCATCTTGCAAGGGTCCAAGGATCGAGGCAGCACAAACGGCGACGGAGGCCCGGAGTTTGCAGAAGTCTTCGTTTTAGTCTGGATAGGCGCTGCTGTAGTAACTTTGAACTGTAAATTGCTGGGAGGAAATATGTAAGTGATTTATTATACAACTTAAGAAGATATAACAATAAAATACAACTAACATTAACAATTTCACATCATAAAACTATAAAATACACTAACTATAAACAAATAAGTCTCTATCTAATTACATAATTACTATATATAAGTAAAATATAAATACTAGAATAATAAAACTAATATTAAAAACCTTAAAAACATAAAATTAATAACTAAAATATATTATTAAAAGGAGTCCCTTTAGGCAAGGAACCGAAGATACTGGCAGCGTTACCTCTTTGAATGGCTAGACTAATTCTTTGTCCGAGGTAGCTGCCAGCTCTTCGGTCTCCTGTGACGTCGACTAACCTTTTTGCTATTTCCTTAAATAGCCTTAAAGCGCTAGGACCCCACGGACCAAGGGTCTCGACACCGAATGGGACAAAATCATATTCGGAGCCTAGACCCCTGTATTTGCCTGCCTTAGCTTTTTCAGCAGCTTCACAAGCCGCACCAGCTCTGTTGTTGGTTCCATGTAGATGGGAAGGGGCCAGCGTGTCTGAACAGGTTGCATCCCATACTAGCACCCGACCCATCTTCCATGGAATCAAACTCATACCGTCCGGTCTTTTGCCATCGTCTCTTGCAATACCAGTTGGCTCAAGTAGACTTGGCACGTTGACGGTGGCAAGAGACCGGCGTATGATATCGTTAAGTGCGGCGTGTCTCGAGAAGCGGCCTGCACTTTTTTGGCAAGACAGTCCGTGATGTCCTAGCTTGTCGGCATCACTGCCACAGGGACATTTATGAGGAGCGCAGACCGGGACCCCAAGCCGTAGACAGGTTGCGATTCGGAGCGTGTCAGGCTCAAGAAATGTTCCTGTATTTGACGAGGGGTACGCGTGAAGCCAGTAGCCGGCCTCGTGCGCACCCACGGCCAAAAGCCTAGCACGCGCCGAACCTGTACTACAGCTCAAAAGGTTATCATATGTCAATTTACAGTTTATGTCATCCCAGCTCCTCTGTGAATTTGGCGAAACTGGAAAATTTTGACCTGGGCATGCAATTAAGAAAGCGTTTCTAGCTTCTTCCAAGCCAGCAATCTCAAAGTTTGAAGGGGATGCCCTTAAAATTTTACCAATGAGATTTGCTGAACTATGGACAGAAGATAGGAAGGCTGGTAAAGCGACACTGGAAATTTTGCGAATCCCTAAACCACCATAACGGATGGGTAGGGATGCTTGGGTCCAAGATTGCTCGTTAAGCTGCATATTAAGAATTGATTCTAAGTTATTTTTGATTAAGCCGTCTACTTGTGCCAAAAGATCTGGATGATTCCAAAAGGAGCAGCAACGGAGGACATACGTTAATTTTGGGACAAAAAGACAGAATTTTAAGATGCAAAGTGCATAATGTGGACTAATTTCAAGGAGACGGTCAGCGGAATTTTGGAATTTATTAATTGAACTAGCTTTTGCCCGCGACTTCATCCGCGTTATCGTCGTTTTTCGTAAAAAAGTAGCATATGTCCTTCCTCAGGGTTCCGTGGTTTTGATGTGACAGACAGATTAACTTTCGTATTTTAGTAGGGAAATATAATACTGTTAAAAATATCGCAATAAGGAACCGCAGAATATTATTATTATCACTGTGCCCCGAGACCATCAGCGTGTAACTCCTTGTATGTTATTATGTTAATGTATTGGTAATATTGTTTAGATCGCTTTCACATGAGTCTTAAGTACATATAGAATGAAAATACTTCAGCGCAAAGCTTCCGGGTAGACTACGTTGAAATTTGTCCCGTCCGGAACGTGAACATAAAAAATTCTAGGACTGCTAACCCGGGAAAGACCGACATAACTGACCATGTGAAAAACAACTGACACCGAGATCTACTGGTCTGAAAGGTCTGCCCTTGAGCCTTATTTATTGTCATTGCTTAACACACCGATACTGGGAATTGCGTTCTTTTAAATTGGAATGGAAAATTATTTGGTATTATGGGAATTCTGGGAATAAAGATGGTTTCTCCTGCACCGCAACCTATTAAAATTTGAGCCTCGATTACATTTTGTTGCAACTGGGTTACTTTAAGCCGAGTTCCATTGCAAATTTGTGGTGGTCTTAAATTTCGGAGCAGAATAATCGGAATGCCAATTTTTAAACAAATTTCATGAGAAGGAAGTACGGGCATATTTAAAGAATTTAAAAATTCTATCGGGTAATTAGTGGCTTCTTGTACATCGGCCATTCTATTTATTGAACTATAAACTTTGCTTTCCCCCTGGATATTCAACAGTATTTTATTATTAATCTCAGATGCCTGGTCATTGCGAGGAGTTAAAATGGACCTTTCGCATAGCCAAGAATTGTTCTTATTTAATATATTTGTTACGTCACCGTAAACTGACGATGTAAGATGTTGTTGGGATTGCACTATACAACATAACTCAGGCGTCAGAATAAGTTTTCCTTGGTGTAGCAGTGGATAGGTATCTTTGGTGAAGGTGTTTTCTTTAATAATATATCAGAAAATTCACGATCATCCGGGTTATCTACAGTTCTCACTCGCATGTTTATAGTCAAATGCACCGATTGTATATCACGCCACAAATAAGAGCTTTTCAGGCAAGCCCTAACCTCAGCAGCTCGGGTTCCCCGTGGTATTACCGTTAAGGTTTGTCGGAAATCACCACAAAATAAAACTGTGATACCGCCCATGGGTCGATCATTTTGTCTTATATCTCTTAAAGTTCTGTCTACCGCTTCTACTGCTTTTCGATGGGCCATCGTACATTCATCCTATATGATTAAATTACACTTTGAACGAATATTTAAACACTACCAAAACAACTAATACCTGTTTTACAAAATAACAACAAAAGAAATTCAAATAAACTATTTAAAGACTAAAAGTCGCGCTGATAAGCACGGTTTCGGTCTCCCAGGCGGGGGAGCAGATGAGAAATCCTCATGGATACCCTACAGCCGGCTGCAAGGTTATGTCAGACTCGTACTGACTAAAAAACACCCGTAGGGGCTGCCTCTGGCCGGGAAGGCCTCTAAGGCTTCATCGGAAGCGATCGTCCCCTTACAAATATGATCAGAATGCTCCGAACTGCTAAGCTATCGGGAGTTACACGTGTTATTGTGAGTCAACCATAAAAGATAGACATATGCTGTTGCGGGATATTTTTTAGACAATTTTATGTAGAATATTTCCGTCATACATAATTTCTATGTAACTTTAATCATTAAGGCTGCACACGCGACGGAAGCTTAAAAAATGGAGTAACTTCTCCCGTTTTCCCAACATTTCCCTTCACTACTCTGCTCCTATTGATTGTAGCGTGATGAAAAGTATACTATAACCTGCCCAGGAGTATGAAGAATAATTGTACCAAGTTTCGTTAAAATCCGTCGAGTAGTTTTTGTTTCTATAAGGAACAAACACACAGACAGACAGACAGACAGACAAAAAATTTACTGATTGCATTTTTGGCATCAGTATCGATCACTAATCACCCCCTGATAGTTATTTTAAAAATATATTTCATGTACAGAATTGACATCTCTACAGATTTATTATAAGTATAGATTATTAAAATATTCAGAAATAGATTCATCAAAAATTGGAGAACCTAAAAGGTAAAGGGAATTACTGTTAACTATTTTAATATTTGGAGCCAAAATATTAAATTTTTGTTTAACGTCATTTAAATTTAAGTCACAGTTATTTATAAAAAGTTCGCATTTGCTAAAATTAAGCTCCAAACCGATGGCTTCAAATTTGTTTTTGATTAAAAAAAGGTCCGAAAACACAGTATCCACATCACCTCCTAGGGTTCCGTCGTCCAAGTACCAAACGTTGAATTTAGAATTTAATTTTTTTATTATCGGATTTATAGCCAAACTAAAAATTGCAGGCCCAAGGGGATAACCCTGTTGACAACCTACTTCCGAGGACAGTTCATTAGAACGATATAACAATTTTGTTGGGTCAGCGTAACTGAGAAGAAGATAATTGTATATTTCCGGTATATGTTGTTTTATTTCCGTCAGCAGGGTATCCCTATTTACCGAATTGAATGCATTTTTGACATCAATTTTGAGCAACACGTCAGGCTGTCCGTAAGTTAAGAAAGAGCGTAGGGCATGGACGGCTGCCTCACATCCTCCTTTTACACCAAAGCCTAACTGTACGGGTTCAAATTCCGAATTTAATTTTGGTAAAATATGTCGAACAGCAATTTTGGAGGCCAGACGTCGTAGTGTTGATCCAACAGCAATTGGTCTCACCCCTCCATCCTTTTTGGTGAGGGCAATGAGGTTCGCGCCGAAAAGAATGGGAACAATTTTTTGATTGACATTACCGGAATACATAAAGTTGATTAAATTAGTGATCGAATTTATAAGTTGCTTTCCTGCATCACCTACAGAATGCGACGTTAAGTCTTTCAAATGTTGGGGTGAGATTCCATCCAAACCTGCAGCCGAACCTGGTTTAAAAGACAAAATGGCATCCGTAACATCTTTGTTTTGAATTTGAAGGCATGCTTGCCCTGCTGTTGGTGGATCGAAAAAATATGGGTTTACTGGAGCTGGGGGATGTTTTGTCCGTAAGGCCTGAAGGGTGTCAGGGGTATCTGGTGATAGCACGTCGTTGGAGAACAAAAGGCGAGCGGCACCTTTGAGATCTCCGTCACAGATTTTATTTTCAATGAGTTTGATGCGATTCCGAGGGGCATTGTGTTTGATTAGAGGTGCGGGAGAAGGCAAGGAGCTTACAGCACAATTATTCTTGATCTTTTGTGTTAAGGATAAATTCAGTTCATTAGTTTTTAAGATATTTAGTGTCATCATCATCATCATCATCAGCCTATTAATGTCCCCACTGCTGGGGCACAGGCCTTCCCTATGGATGGAATAGGGAGTTCTTATGTAGCATTTTTGAATTAATTGTGATAAATGTGTAGCAACAGTTATTCGAGCTCCTCGAGGGATTCTTTTAACTATGGGTATACTATTTTTCAAATGGCTAAGATATGTGTGGAAAGGAGTTGGATCGTTGGCTACATAAGTAGGCCCACTCGGAATAATGGGATGGATGTCTAAAGGTGAACTATTTTGGCTAATACATTTCCTGTGTATTTTTGTAGTGTGTATTTTGAGGCCTTTCAAAGATTTGAATGATTTGTGGCACTGTGTACATGTACGGGTCGTGTTCGACGTGCCATCGCTAGATTGGGTCGCGGACTGCATTCACAAAACTTAAATATATTCACAAAAAAGAATAACTTAAAACAAAATTAAAAAACACAATAAAATAACTTGAAAAGTGCACTGAAAATATAAAAAAGTCAAAGACAAATATGACAGCTGCTTGTTGTGATAAATAACGCATGTGCCGTTACATAGGTGCGTCACAGGATGGTCTTGGATTGGACACAGTGAAAGAGAGAGACCTAGCGACGCATGTCGTCGCTAGGACAACCGATGGCGGCCTTAGCAACCGCGTCTTCAAATTATCACAAGCGGATCAGCAATTTTTAACCACTGAACAGGCACTGTGGTGGAACAACAATAAAATCCCCATGCACACATATGAAAAACAACTTGATTTACTTTTATATGCAGGTTTGCGCCGTCAGTAAATTAAAATGGCTTAGAAATTAATATTTTAAGTGACCTGAGCCTGCATGTCATATGGTTTTTTTTTTTTTTTTTTGATTTATTTATGTTGGTTAGGTAACTGACTTTAATTATGCTGAATTTTTATACCGAATCATTACAATGAGACGAGTTTTACAATTATGAAAACTATCATAGTTTTCGTAATAGGCTAGTTGACCCTTTTTGGAAAAAGGTTTTAAATGGTTAATAAATGTTCTATTAGACCGAAAAAAAATGTATTGTATTTTTTTGAGACCTAGAAAGTTACAAATCTTTAATTTTAAAATAGACTTTTTATGGACATACAAAAACGCTGTCGGCCATTTTAGTCTATAGATTATCTATGCTATGACGTTGACAGTAGTAAACAAAAACTCGTAAGCACGTAGAAAATAACCTATCTGAGTTTATAATAATAAAATAAACATGATTTCTAATAGATACCACGAAAAATATAGTAATTATCATTATTGTATTGTACGAGAATGTAAGAACCTTGAAGACTCCAGGAAAGTTGTGGATTAAAGTGCCGAAAAAAATTAACCTACGCAATACCTGGTTAGAACTTGCTAAAAGTGATCCTGCAACTTTATCGACTCATAGTAAAATTATTTTTGCGAAGATCACTTTGATGTAAGTACTCGTTGAATAATATTTTAAGTCTATTCATTTATTATCAGTTTTAATAATACAAGTTTTAAAGTTATGTATGAATGACATTTAGTTGTTTACTAAAAGAGACGTCACAATCATGGCGGATGTGGCGAACAGCGTTTTTAGTGTTTAAAATATATAGACTAAAAATATTTTTTTAAAATTAAATTTCTACGGCAATCTTCTGCTTTTATGAAGTGAAATCGATATATTTAGGTTCCTTAGACCAAATACTTTAAGAAATAAACATTTATTCAATACAATTCGACATGAGTCAACTAGCCTATTGTAAATTATGTTTCTATGTCCATTTTAGTGAAAAGTAACCAAATATACTTAAAATTAAAGAAGACACAAATGATTTAATGATAGAATTTAAACACTGTTTATTTGTATTGGAACGAAAACAATAAAAGCTACGAGTGCGAGCTCACGAAAACTATCATAGTTTTCGTTATTGTAAAACTCGTATCTACTAAGGGTACTGAAGTTTCTCCGTATTGTTCGCAGTTCGTTCTTCCAGTCAGTATGCGTGCTGGGCTACTGCCTATTCCCAGTAGCGGTGGCACTGGTATTATGCCGCGTGTTACTGTTCGCTCATCAGACCACTTTCCTGTTCTTCCTGCGGTTGGTCATATCGCTGCTCGGCTTCGCGTGGGCGACGTTCGGTAACTATGACTTTTCTTATAAGGACTATAGTAAAGCCTATTTGATATTTATTTAATATATTTAACTGATTGATTTTTAAAGAAGACCTTTGATTTTTGCCCAATTAGGCTTGGTACAAATAATCTCATTAAACATCTAAAATTGTGAAATCTCAATAAATTCAATAAAAATTGCTAAATATATGAATTAAAATAGGATAATCTGCGTATAAAGAAACGTTATTACTTAGACGCAATTTGTTATTGACTGACTGATGACAACTAATATTATTGGTTAAACTCATTTCTTTCATTGTGATTGGTTGTATCAATAATGTAAGTAAATTGTAAAGTAGCTAATTGTTATCAATTGAAAGATGCACATTTATCATAATTTATTATCTGTGTAGCCATTAATTTAAATGTTAAAACGAAATTTATTTTGTGGTACAAGTGGATAATAAACTGCATTTATATTTTGGATGAGTTCGGCGTATTTTTTACGTATTAATGCATGTTAATTTTTGAGTTGTATAGAAAAAGAAATTAATTCTTTTGCAGAGAATTTTTATTCACTTTGACATCTGACCTGAATGCTAGGAAAAATGTTCCCTTGAACCGTGTAATTTTTTTTTATCTGTTCAAATTAAGATTACGGCAAAGCCAGAAGAAGGGTTTACGATTAATTCACGACTCTATCAAGTGTAGCTAAAAACTTACTGTTTTTTAAAGAAATAACGGTTGCTAACCAGCCTATAGACGTTTGAGATACCAGAATTGGAGCGCCCATCAGGGGAAGTAGCCTTCGCCTTACGGAAGACGACAGACAAATAACACTACATTTTAGTGTAGTTACCGTCGATGAGTCAGGTTTGCATTTAAAAAAAAATATCAAAGGAAAACAAGGTTATAGGGTGTAATAATTTTAAACCGTAGACTATAAACGCTTTAGCTCTGGTTTCCTCATATCGCAGTGCCGTCTTGTAGCGGTCCTTATATTGCAGACGCAAAAAAACGGTAATACATATAACCACTTTTCTAACCAAATAGGCTATTTGACAGTATAAAAAATTATATACCAATTGTTGCCATCTGTGTTTAATATGAATATTTTTTACAGCAATTTTACTATTCCGAAACAACAAACAATTAATAACTTTTCAATAAAATCATTAAATAGAAATGATTTTTTGCTCCATGGTCAGTGACTAAAATGACGTCACACGCTAGTATACTTCCGGCCAAAGACACATAACATTGTATCGTTTGACGTTTTAATGACAGTAGTGTCACGTCACACAGGGACACTACTGTTCGCGGCAACTTGTTTTTTTTACTGAATTAAACAACAGAATTAAAAATATCCACTTTTTATGGACTCCATAAACATTAGTAAATAACGTGAGATCGTCTTCTTAAACTTGTCCAATACCCTATTGGCAGGTGCGCGTGGTAAGATTGGTTTTCTATAGAAACTTCCACCCTCCATTTCACACCCTTAACCAATGATTTCAGGGATAAAAACTCCTTCCAAAACCCTATGTTCTTTCCTGAGAATCAAACTATCTGTACCTAATTTCATCTAAATCGGTACAACGTTTTAAGCGTGAAAAGGTAACAGAAAGATAGACAGATTTAGAGAGGTAGGGCATAGCGGAATTTCCGCTCGAATTGGAGCGCCCATCTGGGAAGTAACCTTACAGAAGACCATAGTAAATAGCACTACTTTTTGAAGGTAGTACGGGGTTGGGGATTGGATCAGGGTAGTTAACGGCGCGAGTTATATTTTTTGTATCGCAAGCGCCTATGCTAGTGGCCGCTTACCATCAGGCGAGCCATATGTTTATTTTCCACCCTTTAAACATAAAAAATAGACAGACAGACAGACACACACTTTCGCGTTTATAATATAAATATGAATGGATATGTTCAATATCATTATTTTTAAGGCTTTTTGTACATCTTTCTACTCGAGCAGCCTATATGTTAATTTTACAATACAATAATGCCTTTAAGGCACTGCTGCGCCTGCCGAAATATTGTAGTGCTTTGGGAATGTTCGCAGATGTGCAGGTCAACAGTTTCCCAGCTCTTTTGCGCAAAAAAATGGGTTCATTGCTCCGGCGGGCCGCAGCAGAGTTGTGAGGGATTTAGTTTACGTGGGGACTATCCACAGATTAAAATTTGTGTAGATACGGTTATATCGGTTTTTAATATTTTTTTTTAACATAGTTTTAAGTATTGTCTACTAACACATGGATCTATGTTGTCAGAATAATAAATGATTTCATTTGAATATCAATAATTTTGTTACAGCGGCGATGAAATTCCTAGGGGACAGTCAGCCGGAGGGTAAAAAGGCTCTCGCCGTGTATCCAATATGCCTTTTTTACTTCATCCTTTCGTGGCTTGTCGTCTCCCACACAAATGTGTAGGCAAACCTTTAAACATCACACGCACAGTATTGTGATACGAACTCTAGTGTAATTGCTGTGAATATACATAGTGTGTTTAGTTAAGTCAAAGCATTTTCGACCTTAATTTATTGTAATAAGTGTTCGGTCCGTCAGGTGTTTATCGACGTTCTATAAATTGTATCAACGTTATTGTGTTGTAAGACACGAGTGAGCATTCCATTCTAATCGATTTTATTGTGAGTAAATATTGACATATTATTATTATTGCGTAAAAAGGACCACCTTCTTTTGTAAATAAGTATATTAAATTAAAAAAAATATCAATAAAAAATCATATTTTCTGTCCGTGTTTGGTTTTTATTGAAATTCATTACAAACCTCTCAATATTCAAATATGTGTCTAAAAATACACGTTTCAGTGAAAATTCGAGACAATCAGTACAGATTTTTTGATAGATTAACGGCCGAACTTAGAAATGATAATTAACATTCAAGTTTGATTACAGTTCATCTTTAATTATATAAACGCCTAGATAAAATATTAACTGCACGGAAGCTCCCCAAAAAATATATACTACATATGGTAGATACGCTCGTCGCTACACACGCGCACATTGATAGCTTTCAAACAATCAGACATTAGGGTCTATAATGAGCAGTTTTCTGGGCGTGGTTTATTTAGATTTCTTTATCTAGGCGTGTATTGATTTTGTTACCTTGTCAGAGCAATAGATTAGGTTAACTCGTCGTGATATTTAATTAACGTTCCTGAGTGCAGCCGTAAGGTATATTTTTGCAGGTACACCGCTAGACTAGGCATTACTCTCCACTTCCGACAAAAATTAAATTATTTACATTTAGTGATTCGCTATACATCAGAGATTATATTGAACTACTGACACATCGATATAGTACTGCAATTAGGAATACACGACATATCGTAGCCTTACTATAATGATAAATTTTGAATTTATCATTTTTTCTATAACGTCTTTAGGTAACGCCTTATATAAAAAAGAGGAACATCAACAATTTTAAATAAGTAATTAAAAATAAAAGATTGTGTAAAATTGTTTGATTATATAGATACATTAATATAATTGGAATTCTTAGATCACAATATTTGTTATCATAATTGTGGGAAGCATACATCGAAATAAGATTTTTTTTAGATATAAATTGTTACTACTGCATACTGATTCTCCGATATATTTAATTCATACTGATAATAAATTGTGCATAGGTACCTACCTAAATCAGTTCGTTTTTTCCTTGTAAAATTGTAAGAATTTATCTTAGTAACTACACAAGTGGCTGGTATTTTACTTATTTAATTAACAGTAAAAAGATTTACTTACGATTACGATGAAATACTATATTCTTCTCATTTAATATTATTTTTTGTCACATAAGCTTAAAATAATAATTTCATTGTCAAACAAAATCACAAATTAACATACATAAATTATAACATAACATTATCTATTTAGAGTGAATCTTAAAATATATTTTTACATTTACATAAAACAGCTTTTGCCAAACACAACCATTTGAAAAACAAAAATGGAATGACAAACTTTTCTCCATCGTTTTAAGTCCAGGAAACACAATTGAAATTATCTATGTTTAGTCAATACAAAATGATAAGATTGACTATTATGATAAAATTAAGTATAAAATAGTAATAATAATATTTTTTTGCAGCCTAACACAAGTGTGACTATTTTAATAATTTAAATAACGAAACCCCGTCACGATACATTTCAATTGAAGTTTGTAAATATATTTCAAATGTCAAATAAAAGGTTTATCGATGGGAGTCAAAAAGATTTGTGATATATCGACATTAACTGTCAGACTACTGTCAAACTCCATAGTAGTCTGACAGTTAATGCCGATATACCGCTTTATCATATCCCGTTTCGGTGGTCATGCTAGAGGGGCAGGACCCGGCAAAAACGACACATATCTCGTCTTTTTTTGTTATTTTTTTATATAATCAAATTATATTTTTTTAAATTCGTAACAAATGGCTAACACCAAAATGTTGCCTTATGTTTTTGTTCAGGTTTTACAGTAAAAAAATACAAAATGCCTATTTATCTACAAAATTAGTTTTGTCGGATGTCTGGGTTTTTTTCATTAGATCTTGAGCGTTCTTTTGATAAAATATATTTTGTCACTGGTTCAGCAGTTCTATTTAGGTTACGTATTAGTACTTAACTGTAGATTAATATCAATTATGGCGAGTGGCCAGTGTGAACTCCTTCTCGAGTCTTAATGTTGTAACGTCAAATTTAAGACTGCGCATAACGTAGGTACCTACGTATGTGCATTTACAACTATACAGATAAAACGGTGATAATATGCGGGTATTTATCTTACTCAATCACCCCTGGAAAGACTTGAAGCTAATTTTAAAACTTAAAGGCCGAACAGACTTTTGAAACGCGACGCCGACGCGTGTTGGGACAAATTAAATGCACTATTTTCTTTTATCAGAATCACATTAGGAACATCCGACGCGACCATAGAAAATTCGTGTCGGGTGGCGTCACGTTTCCAAAGTTTCTGTTTCGGGTTTACCTCTTTCTGCTATCCCCTTTAAAGGCAAAGAAAAGTGTCAATGTGACATAATTAAGTAATAAATCTTTCCCAACTATTAAATAAAAGCGATCGAAGAGTCGAAAGTTCAAACAAAATCAAGGGCCCAGGATAGTCATTGTCATTGGCGCGTCACGAATTCTTTAAAAAGTTTACATGAATGTTTGTCTCTAGATGTTTCTACTGATTCTACTTCTCAAGAAGACAATATTCATCGAAGCATTCATTTTATGTTTGCTTCGCATTTTGTGATTCGGATGTTCCGATTGACACATACATTCTGCGACAATGCCTTATATTTTCGTCGAAGCTGACAACGAATCAGGAAAAATAAGAATACTATAGTTATATTTAATAAGCGACGAAAGTTCGAGAAGATAAGCAAGTTGCGTACAACGGAGAAACGAGATTTGGTCACACGTGCTGTTGAGTTAGCTCGACTCTGATCCGCTGGAAGCTTTGTCCGGCGTTTCTGGTGGTGTTGCTTTAGGGGATGACCTTGGTGAAGACCTGGGGGATATTCTAGTCATCGGCTGGTAAGACATCTGCATTTGTAAGGAGTCTCGCGCTTTTCTAGCGCTTCTGTAAGTGAGAGAATTCGCGCGTGGTTTGCGTCTTGAGAAGTGACGTTCTACCCATTTAAGCATCGCCAGGACTGAGTCGGTGGACGACAAACGGCGTTCTGCTGACGTTTTGGTGATTGTGGAGGACGCGATACGGAATGTAGCGGCCATACCTTTCAGGGCCTGTAATCGGGGAGGAATGTTAAAATTTGGTCCTTCGAGCATCTATATATGGGGTGATGATAATATTTTTCTTTCTTGGTAAATACAATATAAAATGTGTAGAGCTATAAAGGTTTATAGGACGCGATACAGAATGAAGCGGCCATACCTTTCAGGGCCTGTAATCGGGAAGGGAAGGATTAAAATTTGGTCCTTCGAGCGTCTATACATAAGGTGAATGATAACCTATTTCTTTTTTGGTAAATACAATATGAGAGTTGTAGAGGGTCTATACAGGTTTATGAATGCATCAATATTATTGAAAACTAGATTATAAACGTGGTGACTTACCAACATGGCGTCCTCGTCAGTGACATCATCACCGGCGTATATGACCCTGATTCTCTCGCACCAGTCTAATCCGAATGCTGTCCTCAGAATGTATATAGATGCTCGACCTGGTTGAGGTACATTCATATTTATTAAATGCGGAGTGTTTTCCATAATCTATAAAACATTAATTGTGCTGGTATGAAACTTTCAATATACTCTCATAACTTGAAATTTGTATTAATGGAAAGAGAGAACCCGTTAAGTGATTTATGTTTTTATTCTGTTTTTGTTCTGTTATACAGTTAAACAGGAATGAACTGAATAATAAATTACAGAAGTATAAAGTAAATACTACTACTTTTTTACTACGAGTGTTCTATGCGGAGCTGCGCTGCTAGCTGGACTGACATCCTCTACATTAGTGGTAACGCCAATTGTGCGGTATAATATGCGTCTATTGGATGCTATGTCGTGACGCACAAAAACAAAAAAAAATGTAACTACCTGGAACACGGCGTGGAGACGTGGAGCTAGAGAAGATGTATACAATTTTCGCACTTATTGCAATGGCGTTGGTTGTAGTTCAGAGGGAGAGATGATGGTGCGTTTAATTAGCATGGAAAAACGCGTGTCACTCGTTCTGTGAAGCCTAGATTCTTCAGCGCGGCGTTAGTGTAGTGTGAGCGGGAGGCAGGCGGTGGTCACACACCCTAGTCTTACTGCACGGGCGGGCGCGCTTCGATCAGGCGGCGCTAGTGTAGTGTGAGCGGAAGACAGGCGGCGCTAGTGTAGTGTGAAAGGGAGGCAGGCGGTGCTAGTGTAGTGTGAGCGGGAGGCAGGCTGTGCTAGTGTAGTTTGAGCGGGGGAGGCAGGCGGTCCTAGTGTAGTATGAGCGGGGAGGCAGGCGGCGGTCACTCACCCTTGTCCCACTGTACGGGCGGGCGCGTGTCGATCAGGAGGCGCTAGTGTAGTGTGAGTGGGAGACAGGCTGCGATCACTCACCCTTGTCCCATTGCACGGGCGGGCGCGCCTCTATGGCACAGTGCGCGACCACGGGCGTGAAGCCGGCAGCGGTGATTAAACGCCGCGCGGTCTCTTCCAAAGCGGGACGTTTCGCTAATGGAGTCTCACGGAAGTGGAACGTCAGTAAAGCACCCTTGTTCTCCACCCAAGCGCCGTCTTTGCACACCTGTATCGAATGCGTTTGCTTGCAGTTTTGTCGGTATTTTTTTTTGTTATTTCCAATAGCTTAGCTTTAAATGTGGTCTATGTTATTTTTTCAGAAAATTTAGTACTATTGGAGAAATGCTTTCTAAATAAAGCAGTGCAAGTTTACGATACTAATTTTATCGGTTAAAAGAATATCGTTCAAACAGAAAAAAAATATAGAGAAGAAAACATGATCTACCCAAAGTGGAGTGGATTTGTAAGCAAAACAAAATATTTGATTGCCCTATTTCTTTCTGGCGACAGGATTACGTGGACACCTTGAAATCGGTATCTATACATCTTTAACTAAATTACCTGCTCTTGAAGGGACTTGAGAAGCACAACCACTTTGTCTTGACACTCCATGGGCATCGGGTGGACGAACTTGCTGCCGTCCGGATGTAGAATCTCCAGACCATGGTTACCCGCGTACGTGATGCCTTCAATACCGACCTTCCAACAATAATATTATTATCAGAACCTATTGACGATATGAACAGTTTTAGTAGAATAGGTGCTAAATGAATTTGCTGTTCAAATTTTTACATTTTGAAGACTAAACGCATTCAAGAAGAAATGTAATGGATCTGAATAGATATTAAATGTAGCCCCTAGGCATCATATCGGAACATTTTCAGGCCTAAAAATAAAACGACTCGTTTCCAACGCCACTACGTGCCGAGTCCTTGTAATGTAACTGACAAAGAAAAAAATTAATAAGGGATCAAACATTGAGTGCTTGACTTGACAATCATTCGTTGAGCTTTTAATGGAATTTTGATCATTGAGCTTTCTGTGCATACATTTAAAATTCTTATATAAAGAAACTCGATTTAGCCAAGGATAATATTATATTGCCAAGCAGTCCAACGTGACGAACAGTCGATAAAAAATGAAATAAAATTGTACTGGTAAATGACGTAATTTATTGAAACCACGTCTTGAATGGAATAATTAATAGAATAGAGTTGCAATTTTAAGAAAAAGTATAATGAATGATATTTATAGAAACCGGCTACGCTTCGCATGGAATGATAATTTGTTCATTTCTTCAAATTACAGAATGGTACAATCAGTCGATGAGTCCTCCTAATAAGTTTTAGATAAAACATGTACCTATCTATACCCTTAGTACTTTTACGACGAAAACTGATAGTATAAATAAGAATGATAGTAAGTACCTATTTAGATGATGCTAATAAACGAAATGCTAACAGTAATATACTAAAATGATTTTACAAAACTCACTATTCGAACAAGTAAAATGGCTATATATATTTTGTTAGAGGTAATGTATACCTTTGTGTTTGTGTGGGCGCGTGTGTACGTGCATGCGTGCGTCCGTATGTGTGTGTGTGCGGAATATGTCTTGATGACGCGAAGATACGCCTTCGTATGCTTAAACGTGAATTATATTGGGCTACCACGGCGAATTATCGAGCCTGCTTATTTCTGCCACTTAAGTCTACGCGCTAATGATGAAGTTGCCTTTAAAATATTAATACTTCAGCCATAGATTTTGGGATCACTCATCTTTGCGATGATGATAACAACTCTCAACTGCTGAAAACGAACTAAAACTTAAGACTCTTTACATATTAGCTCTTATCTCTGCTACGTGCAGGGAAGAGTTATCTGGTGCGTCTTCTTATAACTTTACCGATCACAGATTTATGCGAAGCGTGTACGTTGGTTACAGCTTAAGCTACAATGACCACTCTGACCGCCTAAATGTGGGTACCTGATTTCATGCCAAGCGAAGGACTTGCAATGGAATCAGTTTAGTTTTTCAGGGCGGTTTGAGACACGCACAATGGTCCAATAATTAGGACTAAGTGCGTCCTAATTATTGGACCATTGTGCGTGTCTCAAAACATTCCCGTATACTCTAGCCAGCCTATATTAGTCCAGAACGAAAGCAGTTTTGGTAGACTGCTGCAAGCTTCTGGAAACGATAGGTGTTTGTTTAGGGGACAATGACCAGTCAGGGTTCCTATAATCTTGCGAAGTTTGTCCCTATTTAATCTGGTAAGGGTACGGGCAAATCTTTTGTTTGCCGCCGAAACTGAGTTTTACGTTTGCCGGCATCATTCACCTGATTTACACTCTGTCAAAGGAATGGAATAAGAAGTGGCTTTTACACGTTCGTTTGGGAAGGTGTCGACGACTTCTGTATTTTCGTTCCTACATAATGGCCATGATCTGCCAGTGACCTCGGTCCACGTCGAACGGCTGAACGCAAGAGTCATGAGCACGACGTTGTATAGACATAATGCATGTTTTTACTCCGTCATCGAAAAAAAACGAATGTGCTTATGACCACACGACTGAAGTGAAACTTATGTTTTTATTTTTTAAGCATTTAACTGCTAGATGCTTAAATCTAAAGAAAAGTTTACTAGAAAAAATTCCACGCGGACCAGGCAGCAGACGGGACTCGAACCCGCACCCTTCGCTATCCAGGCGAATGCACTGACTATTATGCTACCGCGGCCCTGACGGCCGTGTCGAATTTTCTCTAGCCTTAGGTTGCAAGGCAGCGCCATCTCTTCGGTAACCCACAATGTCAAATGAATAGTATTACAAGTATTAAACATTTGAAAGAAGAGATAGCAATTATAGTTAAGTATGTTTTTATTATTTTTAGCATTTAACTGCTAGATATTTAAATCTAAAGAGAAGTATACTAGAAAAAAATCCAGAAAATAGACCAGTAAGCAGACGGTTCAGTAAGTAAATAGTTACTTAATTATGTTTTTAAAGTTAAAAAATCGAGAAACTGAAATAAGTAACTGGTTTTACCTAACAATGCCTACAACAAGACCCAAACAATGTAATTAATCAATAATGTGGTAAAATGACGCTCCGAGTAGTAGGTATATTGCTCACATAAATAACCTCTTAATCTCTGCCGCGACAAAAATATGTAACAATAAATCTGATTCGAGTTGTTAGCGATAACTTTTGTATTTCACCCCTTTGACGTCATTCTAGTCAAGCTCGTGCGCATCCTCGTGACCGGGGTCAATGATATTTCAAGCAATTATATTTTACTTTATAACAATAGTTGGTTTAAATAATCAAACACGTTCTATTATTTTATAAAACCGTAAATATCGTTTGCGATAGCCACGATTTAATTATACCTACCTAAGGCTGCTTACAGAGAACACAGAAAGAGGTTGCTTACGTTGGATTATAAGTACCAAGAATTAATTAAGCGTAATATTATTTATAGATATCGCAAGTTATAAAGGTATTATTATTTGAAGAGACTACTTAACGGGTTGACCTTTAATTGATTTCATTCATACTGATCTCCTTTGAGAAAATGCGTGATACGTGACGTGATGCATGTACGAGCGACGGAGTTATGTGAAACTCCTAGGACCCTTTACATTCCAACTGAAATCTGTACCCGAAGGCATACATACTAAAAACCACCGTACATGGCAACCGACTTACTGTGGCAAACAAGGTACATAATTTGGTCACTCATTTCTTTGTCGCACTATCCGCAAATGGAACGATTTGCCGACTCGCATATTTCCAACCCAGGACCCTTTAAAAGAGCCGTGAAAAGCAACTTACAACAACAACTACAACTACTATCTTGGTAAAACTACCCACCCACCGCTTAACATCAGTTGTTGAGGTGAGGAGGGAAAAAACATCCACACATAGCACTCAGTTGGGACTGATACTCGAACAACTTTAGTCACTGGGCAAACTCCTTGTATCCTTGTAGAAGGTGCACCAAATGCGAGTGGATTTCAGGGGCGAAAATACTTGAAAGGGCAGAAAAAATTGCTGACTCAGTTTCAGCTAGCCGAATTAAGTCCTTTCCCTTCCCTAATGGCTGCTCCAATTCGAGAAGGAGGACGGGAATAACTACAATGTAAGCTTATCGATGTTACGACGAATGAAGAACCTAGAGATGTGTTGCCGGTGAAAAATAACCCGAGCGTCGCGTCGTTTAAGAAAATGGAGGCAATAAAACTATTTTATGGGTTAGATGTACTGAATTTATTTATTTATTGACGTTTCGCAGCCTTTTCAGTCTGCGTCGTCTGAATAATGATTTTTAATTTACTTTGTCGAGCGTTGCTTTTTTTTAAGTTTTAAAAATCTTCCAATGAAATATCCGAACGCTTAATAAAAGTTTTTCGAAGGTAGCTCGACAAAGTAAATAAAAAAAAAACGAGCGAGCCTTACAGTAGTCGCGTATGATGTGTAACATTTGAAACCTCACCTTATTCGAAAGTTGTTTGTTGTTTCTTTAGTAAAATAAGAAATAAAACCTACTACAAAAGTAATAAGCCATTTGAACGTTATGTTCGAAAATCAAATCAAATGGGGCGCGCTTTCGCGATTTCCTGTTACACAATTCCGTCCCATTTCACGAAATCACTCCCACAAATTGCAGGAAAGCGAGAGGAAAGACGTTACACATCAAAAATCATTATTCAGACGACGCAGACCAGAAAAGGCCGCGCAACGTCAATAAATAAATGAATTCAGTACATCTAACCCGTAAAAACTAGTTTTATTTAATGAGTGATGTGCGTGAAAACCCAAGAAACAAATAAATGGAGGCAAGTTCATATAAGTAGGTCAGATAATAATATATGTATACTAGTATCTACTCAGAGTTTATCCTAACTCTGAGTACTTCATTGCTCTTGCTGCAAGATACTGACGTGTGGACCTGTAGCGCAGATCTAACTTCATCTTCATGCCAGATCTCAATAAAACCAAACTGCTACGCATTATTATTCACATAGCAGAGCTATGGTGTTCAGCACCATAAAGTGTCAAATGTGAAACTGTTCCAACGCGTTGGAAAGAACCGCGTACTGTTAAGGACATATGAACGCGGAAAGGTGGAATGCCTTAGTATTACTATTAAGACATCGGCAGTACCAGTTGCTACAGCCTTCAGCTGGAGTTAAAATAATAGGTAACAACGCCTTTGCAGAAGAATTAAAGAATATTGGTTGCAGAACATCCGGGAATGGACTAATAAAAAAGCTTCTTTTATGTATGACACTATGAAATTCGTTGAGTAGACGGCTAGACGGTAATGGAGTGTTGCGCGCTTGGAGTGGTGGACTGTAGTTTCTGGTTGCAAGGAAAACCACCGGTTGCAGAGATAACTACGATATTTTATTATAAAATTTACACAGCACATGTAATCGCACAAGAACGAAATTATGCAGAGAGATGGTAGAAAAGGAAACGGAAAACAACATAACTTTTTTAAATTATAAAAATTTGTGTTGCCAGCAACATGGAGAACCATTTTAAGAAGAAGTACATTGATTTCGACAATGATGATGAATAACCAAGGGATACATAGCGCTAAGGCTGGAGGATTGGACGTTCAATGCAACACCGTAACAAGGCTGCGCAATCGTCGCGAACTTTGACAATGTTATCATAATGTAAACAAAAATATTTGTAATGTTCTGTACCTACGCTACCTACCAACCTAATGCTCACTTACAAGGAGATAATGAAAATTCGATAAATCGTAACCGGGTTTTAGCCTACTTGCATATGTACGGGCGGGCGTTACGTAATATTTGCGATTGTGAGCCTCGGTACAATACAAATTATACTTGACATTTCGTGTGTTGTTGAATCTTCGCTAATAACATAAACGAGCGAGTGTTTATAATTATTCGGTCACCGAGGCATGAGCAACAAATGATAAGGTTTCGTCATCATACACGGCGTGTTTGAACTTATATATTTTTTTATCTTCTTAGTATTAGTTTATACTAAAAGATCATGCATGGTAAGAGTATTTACACATGAGACCAGTAGGTACCAGCGATAGATTTAAATACAAATTTACAGTAATACCTACCTAATTAACTTGCACATCCAAAGTAGGTACAGGTAGTAGATAGGTTATTCCTATCATAATTGCGAAAGTAACAGTAGTAACAATTTAATTTTTATATATAACGTAGACTTAATTATAAAATTATTTTAATTGTAACCGGGACCATAATGGGAATTTGAAAGAAGAAATAGCAATTTTAGTTTATTAAGTATATTAAAAATGTAGCAGTTAAATGCTTAAAATTAAGAACCTTTAAATTGCTTTAATACGACATAGTTGAAAGGGTACCCATCATTGGAAGATATTTTCTTCCATTTAAACCTAATGCGGTCTCTGTCTTCTTTTTAGCAAAGAAGGGTGACAGCATCAGTTTTAAACCAGGTTTAATTTCAGATTAAAATATTATCATTGTTTTAGTGGGATTGGCGAGTGACGAAGACTAAAACTGAAAAGTGATCACATACAACCAATATTGTTACTCACCATATTTTTGACGTTGTCCACATTGCGGCCGGAGACAATGGCTATATACACATCGGACATATTGGACAGCCTCTGTAGGGTGTGTTTGGTTTCCAACGGCAACGTGGCGAGATCTGGATGAGGCGCAATGGGTGCCAATGTACCATCGTAGTCTAAGAGTAGTGCCAGTTTTTGCGTGTAACCGATGTATCTGCGGATATTATTAATGTCGTTACAGTTTTTCATTGCGAAAAGGAAATCAAATCTCTTAAAGCTAGAAATATTTCGGGAGTGTTACAAGTAGAAATTTCATTAATGTTGTTATATGTAGGTGTTTCAAAGCCCAAATGTAATAAATTTTTTTAAAGCTAGAAATTTTGAAAGTTTTAGAAGCAGTCGGACTATAACAGATATTTGAATTTGATGGTGTCACATAGATCTTTACTGTCGCAGTGACTTCAGTTCCATTACTTCATAACCCTAAAAATGAAGTTATAATAAATAGGTGCTTCTGTGCATAAAGGCAGACAAACAAGCATACAACCCGCCTCACGGCAAGTACCATATTCAAAAGGCATTCGTTATTTATGGGGATATTACGCCTACAAGCAGGAGAACCATATATCTGTTTGATTCCCAAACTATATTCATAATTTTACTAAAAACCCATCGTTTTCTTATCTATTGTCACGAGACCTAAAACGCTTGGGATTTACGGAGCCTAAAATGACGTCAAACGCAAGTAATCTTCCGGTTAAAGTGACATTCCATTGTATCGTTTGACGTTTTAATAACAGTCGTGTGACGTCACACAATAGTAAGACGCCATATTGTCCAGAGAAACGTTTTCGCGGCAACTTGAAAATGGAGTTTTTAACATGTTTTTTTTTTACTGAAATACACAACAGAATGATGAATATCTATCTTTTTACGGACTCCATAAACATTAAACAATAACGTGGGATCGTTTTCTAAAACTTGTCAAATACCCTATTAAACTAAAGAATCCTGAGTCTTGTGAAAATAGTGGAAATTCTTCGTACAACTCTTCAAATCCTTAGTCTCAGGCAGAAGTGAAAAGCCTACGGTGCTTCCGATGATACTTTGAAAGCTTACCTTTCTGTTGTTTTAAACTTAAGACAGTAATTTATGTAATTAACGGGGTTGCCACCATGAACCTTATTTTTTGTGAATCTCCGATATTTTGGCACTGCTGCAAACTGCATGATCATGGGGTAACTGTAACCAGTTTCTGACTGGTCTTCTATCAACATCACATTAAATAATAGTACTCACTTGGAAAGATATTCGTCGAAATCGTCGATGGTGACTGGCTGCATGGAAGTAGCTCCGATATCGTCAGCCTCTTCCTCCAGCGAGTCCATTGCTTTAAGGAAGTTCTTCATCCATGAATCTACGTCGTTCAGCTGTTCCCGCCGCCGTAGATGATTCATGCGGACCGTTCGTTCATCCTCTGGCATAATGAGTGCCCTATGTAAAGAATGCAAATGTAGAATATATTAGAAGTTATATTGGGTTTGCCTAGAAAGTTATACTAGGATGTTGGAAGTATTAATTTACTCTTTTCTATGCCTTTTCTTGCATATTAGTTCAAAGGTACACCCTTATGCGGTTAAGGACAGATTCTGTTAGAAAGTAATTGATTATGGAAAGACAAAAAAAAGACTGCGGTAAATTGTTATTTTCAGAAGAACGAATTGCGCTCTTCATTTAAGAGACTAAATCTTGTAAGCTAAAAAACTGCTATTATAAGCGTGGCATTTTTATGTTACAATACAAACGATGATTTTAAATTAATGCAAATGCAATTCTAGGTCGTATCTCATAACAACTCATCTAATGCGTACCTGTGTATAACTTCAGCAGCGTCATCTAATTCGTATGGATTACATATCAGTGCTTCGTGCATCATCTCTCCGGCCCCAGCGAAGGGCGAGACGATCAACACTCCTGGCGGATTGTTGATTTGACAAGCTACGAATTCTTTGGCGACTAGATTCATTCCGTCACGGAGAGGAGTGACAAGAGCCACGGCGGCATCGCGGTAGAAAGCAGCTAGCTCATCTTGACCAACGCAACCATAGATATATCTAAAAAAAGTAACATTTCATCAGATTAGTCATAACAAAGATAATTTTTAGCTTGTTTGTTTTTATCAGATTGTGTCTCACCTAATTGGTGACCAGTTGGGAGTGGTGAACCTCCCGTTTATCCTCCCAACTAACTGGTCCATCTCTTCCTTTAAGTCCTGATACTCTTTGACATCTGTCCTAGACGGTACCGAAATTTGGAGAAGCATCACTTTCTCTATGTGCTCGGGATATTTCTCCAACAGCCTCTCGAATGCTTTCAGTCTATGCACTAATCCCTTGGTGTAGTCCAATCTATCCACGCCGAGGATTACTTTTTGATTTGTAGAAAGCACTGGTTTCGCGTTTTGCGCCAAATGCACGAATCTGTCGAAGGGAACCCCGATGGGCAAAGGTCTGACACAGATGGTGCGACCACCCAATTCGACTAGAAGGTTCTTCCTATCGACGCGGCAACCTAATTTTCTTTGGCAACAGTCTATGAAATTTAAGCAGTAGTCCGTTATGTGAAATCCGACCATATCGCAACCTGTAGATAGGTAACAAAAAAAACAATAAATATTATCAACTTACTTACATTAACACAGCTAACCAAATTTATTAAATTAGCAGTAATAACAGTCAACTTACCTAGAATTCCTTGTAAAACCTCGTCTGACCATGGGAAAAGCCGAAAGATATCCCATGGGGGGAAAGGAATGTGTAAGAAGAACGCAAGTTTGCATTTGATATCTTCTTCTTCGGTTCTCTGGAAAAAAAGAGGTAAGCTCAGGTAAATACTTCCAAACTCAATCGAGACATGATTCAGGTAATTTTTTGAGAATAGATTTGATACCTGTCTGATCCAATTGGCTGCCAACATGAGATGATAGTCGTGAACCCAGACGATTGGGGGTGAGCCATTCTTCTCTTTGTCCTGTTTTAGTAAGTGTAGGGCGTGTACAGTTTTTTCCGCGAATTCTTCGTTGATCTTGATGTAGGCCTTCCAGTGGTCGGCAATGAACGTGGCGCGATCAGGCATGGAGTGGAAGAGAGGCCAGAATGTAGCGTTACAGCACCCATTGTAGTAGCTATCGAAGAGGTTTGGCTCCGCACGTATTGGTACGATCTGGAACAGGGAAACTTACAATGATGACTATTGCACCTCAATGTTACTAATGTGAATTTGTATGACGTTCTATGCAGGCAGTGTTGCCAGGTACGATTTTAAAAAATTGGGGAGGAATCACAGAAAATAAATAAAACAGTAGATGTATGGGAAGAGCTGCAAGAAAAACAGGAGACGCAGGGGCGTATTTTAGGTAAAGTTCCATTTTAATTAAAAAAAAAGTATTCTAAGAAAAACAGTAGATTCATGTAGAGAAAGAGAATAAACAGGACATATTTGAGAAAAACAGGAGATCTCCTGTAAAATCGGGATACCTGGCAATCATGTATCCTGGTAACAAAGTTACTATTATAATTAAAATTCATGAATACTTAATCTTTGTAAGCATCTCGTCCATGACGACCTCCGTGGCCTAGTGGTTTATATGCCGGGTTTCATGGAGACGCCGACTCGAGAGGTCCCGGATTCGAATACCGGTGGGGGCAGATGTTTGTGTTATGAATACGAGCATTTGTACTCCAGTCATGGATGTTTAATATGTATTTCTATATAAATATACTTATATATGTACATTATATCCGTTACCCTAGTATCCCATAACACAAGCCTTATAGTGCTTACTTTGGCGCTAGGCTTATTGGTGTGTGTTGGAAATATTTATTTATTTATTATTATTTTGTTTTTGTGATTTTTAAGAGGATGTTGTAAAATTAAAACGATACTTTATTCCCTGACCTGACCTCATCTCTTACCCCGAGGAGACCTGAAAACCTTAAACTACCCACAGAAGACAACACCACCAAAAGGTAGTGTTAAATAGAAGGTTCTAATGGCTCATACAACACCAACTAAACAAATATTACGATTCAGTGGTGACTAACACAAATATTTACCTTGACAATTCAATTTACTTACGTAGAATCGGACATAATGTACAGTCAAGGATATATTGCTACTATTGAATGTTTTTTTTTAAATTGCTTGACTCCGTACGTAGGTTCTACACACTCCTACACATTGTCCCATTGGAAAAAAAATATTTTACCAGTCTTCTGTGAGTTAACACGATTGCTTACACTAAAAGGAGGCGAGCTCAGCGGAGCTCTTTCATCATATATTAATTCCATTAACCCCGTTTTTTCCCTCCATTATGTTTTTTATAGTCAAAAGCAAATCCACCACAAATTTCGGATTTCGTGCAACTCAAATGTTTAATGATAAGAAGTTGGATTTTTTTGCGATTTTCCTGTAAAAGACGCGTTGAAATTTATTAGACGGCAAGTCAAATACTTTAACTGAAGCATGGAAAAATTGAAGCGGTAATGCTTAGTAACTTAGCATTTCAGCATGGGGAGGATCCATTAGCATATTTATGTTTATGCGTCGTCTCGTCCTTCAGAGGTTACCTTCCAAGGCAATGACGCAGGCGAGTAGATAAACCCAGATAATAAGGTGATGATGTAGTCGTTTATGCTTACAATTAGTTTAAATATGTTTTAAACGTTTTGCTTTCTTAAATAAACTAGTTTCCCGCCTTTGGTTCACTTAGATTATATTTTTAGTTGTTTAACCAAACCATTAGCGAAAAATGCAAGTGAAAGTTGCATGTAAATCGGTTCATTACTTTTGTGATCATCGCGAAAGTACTTACACACAAACGCAACGGGGAACTTTGTTTTTTAATATAGTAAGTACAATGCCGGATTAAGGCTGGAAACAGTGCTCGACCGACGGTACGTCCTGACCGTCAGCGCTGACCGTCGGTTGCGAAAATGCATTCAGTGCTACGCTGACGGCGAACGGCGACGCGTGTGTACAGTTCACGAGAAAAATGAACCCTTTTGATGTAATATATGCACGCTATTTTTTGCACTTATTTTAGCATCACGGTCTTTATAAAATACATACGATAAATTGCATATTGCTGGACGAAGCCGCACTTCAGTAATAAGGCGCTCTGTATTAATATTCATTTTTGCTTTGAGTGTACGTACGCGCGTTTGGTCGATCGCTCCATCAGTGAAGCACTGAACGCATCCATACAATCCCATAGCTCATCGGTCGACCGACGTACGCGCGACCGACGAGCCTGACCGACAGCTACTCCGACCGACGGTCGAGCACTGTTTCCAGCCTAAGTCAACTTGATGCCCTTAGCAAACCTAGCCTGTGCCCCCCCCCCCCCATCAGATTATTTTTTTCTTCGATTAAATTACAGCTCTGTTTTTCTGCCAAAAAGGAATTCCTCTATGGACAGACAAAACTTAGGTTAGTTTTTGCTCATTTCTATTTTGTCTAGTGGCTTGAAACCAGATCTGCCATTGGCAAATACCTCTGGGCAGTTGACGCAGTGCCATAAGCAACAATGTCATGCCAAATCCACAGGAACTAAATTTAGAGCGTCCGTCTGACTTAGGGATAGGAGGAACACCGCTGGCGACTATAGGTTCAGCTTGAGTTGGAGATGGAACTACTTTTTGAAAGATTTATGTTTCAGAAAATACTTTATACTTTAATAGGCACTGACAATAACCCGTGCAAGCTAGAGGGAGTGGAAGTTATCAAATGAAAATATAGAGTGCAAATTATAATATATTTTAAACTCTATATTATGTAATACGTTAACAGAAAATTTGAGAGATAGAGTAGCAAGTGACAGCCAACTAAATAATATTCAAATAGAAGGGTTGACAGAGCGGTGTAGGTAGGTTTATAAATAGGATGGACCTATTAAAATTTATAAGTGAAAAGCCGAAGAAAGCCCGAAAATTTCGAGGTTATTGGGGCGCCACGCAGTTAGCACAGGTTTTTCGAAGCTGCAAATATATTTTTTTATGGTAACGCTAACGACATACTAAAAAATTCGGAACAGCAATTTATTGTAACCTACGGTATCTTGAATGACTGGACTATTTCGACTTTTATTAAATTCACGGAAAATAAATTTAAGTTCATCGTTTTTAGTATGTCTCACTTTATATATAATATTAATAAAGCATCGAGCATTACCGGCAGGACCGTCATCGTTTTAATTATTTATTGTTTTTTTCGAAAAATATCATTCGTCTGTGTAGTTTGATATCATCAGGAATAAAAATATAAACAGGGCTGTGTCCACATTAGGGAACGCTGATTCAATCTTACCATCGCGTATTATTTTGTATTTCTTACAATTGTGACATTTTCTTTGATGCCCGAAGCCATTGCTTAATTTGCTGATGGGCTAATCCGGCTCTGAGTAAGTATGATGATTAACTAAACATAGGATATACCAAGTATTTAACTTCAAACATGTCTTGTCCATTTCCTTTGAATTACGTTTGTACGAAATAATCCAAACAGACCGATTGTTAGAAATTGGATTTATAAAACACTAGCGGCCGCGAGCAACTTGATCCGCGTTTACTTGGGTTTTTCTGATCTGACAGGCTTGCAGGAAAGGCTTATTACAAAGGGTCTTATTATATACAGACAAAATTGCTTGGGTTTGAACTGTTCCAATCATTCCAATACCCTATTCTATAAGAAATAAATCAAGATTATATTGACGTTACAACATAATGATTTGTAAATGTTCTTACATTATACATTATCCATATACTATATTTATATTATTATCTTTATATCTTTACTTTCAGTGTTGTGGAGGCTTTTGCTCGTTTTTCTGCGCAGCTAAAAAATAAGTCAAATAAAGAGCGGTAGTTAAATTTTTTTGGACTATTGAAAAGAGTTATTCTATACATCCAACTTGAATAAAGATATATTGATTTCTGATATGTTCACCAAATTTCATAAAAAATCCGTTCTGTTGTTTTTGCGTGATTGAGTAACACAAACAAACACACAAACTTACATTTCTAATATTTGTAGCCTTAAAATTTAAATTCAATTATTTCATGAATAAGAAAATAACAACACTTTGAAGTGGAAATATAATCATATTTAAGATAAAGATGAAATCTTGATTTCAAAATAATTAATTACCCATTTATAAACAAAACAGTTAAATCCGGCTCACCTGTTTAGATAGCAAGCCCGCTGTAGGCGTCTTGTCGTTCGGGTTTGATTCTGGGATCTTCTCGTTGGGGTCCTCGAGGTGGATGCCCGGCCAGCCCACCCAGATGCCATGGCAGCGTATCACCACAGGTGCTACGGCTGTCACTAGCCCACCGGCACTGGAAAAAACAGTGAAACACGTCAAACATAACTACAAAGAGCCTTATTATGTTTTTACTAGAGGTGCCCTGCAGTTTACACAGCGCACGTAATTTTAAGCATTCTTAGATTTTAAACATTTAACTAGAAAACATTCCACTCGGTGCAGCTTTCAGATGGGATTCGAACCCGCTATCTGAGCGGACACAATCTTATTATGTCACCGAAACATTTATGGCAGTGTCGAATTTCCTCTAGTATTTCTAAGGCTGCAGGATTATCCGGATAGCGGAAGAAATGGATTCGAATTCCGCCTGAAAGCTGGAGGAAGATATTTTTCTAGTAAAATTTTCTTTAGATGTATATTAAGTCTTGTTTAAACCCAGTTCACTGTAAGTAATGCTATTGCTGTGCTATGCCGAATTAAGCCAGAAATATATTTGTCTGTCGCGTTGTGTCGTGACGCGTCAGAGAGTTATTGGTCGACACGACATGCAAACATATTTTCAGCTTTAGGATCTCCATCAGCACTGAAAAAAGCAATGGAAAACATCAAGGATTTTAGGGATTACGAGTAAGTACTTATAATGTGTCTTGATAAACAGCGTCGTTGAAATTGACATTATTTTGAATAAGTCGACTTGGTCTATGTGAAATAATTGTAGTTTTTCATTCAATAAAATTTCACCATTTCAATCCCTTCAAGTTTTATTTGCAAATTCACATAAAAGACGTGCGAGCCAAGAGTCCGTACATTTAAACAATACCTGTAAAGAGTAGGTAAAACCAGTCACTGTAAACTGCCAAAATTCTGAATTCGGGCTCTTTTTGACGCAGTCGTGGTACGGTACATACAAGTAATAGGGTATTTGACAGTATAAAAAATAAAGTGCCAATTGTTAGCATCTGTATTTAGAATGAATATTGGCAGGGGTTTTACTCTTTTTACAAAAAAAATATTAATAATTTTACGAAAATCTCACGAAAAAGATAATAGTTTTCTTATCTTTTGTCACGTGACCAAAAACGCTTGGGATTGGCGGAGCCTAAAATGACTTCACACGCAAGTAAACTTCCGGTTAAAGTGACATTACATTGTATCGTTTGACGTTTTAATAACAGTCGTGTTACGTCACTCATTAGTAAGACGCCATATTGACCAGAGAAACGTTTTTGCGACAACTTGAAAATGGAGTTTTTGATTTGGTTATTTTTACTTAAATACACAACAGAATGATGAATATCCACTTTTTACGGACTCCATAAACATTAGTCAATAACGTGAGATCGTTTTCTAAAACTTGTCAAATACCCTATTATGATGTTTTAGTTGTGCTTGTTATTGTATTACGTTCGTTCGTACGTGTAAGATGTTAATGTACCTACCTAATATAAATAACACTATTTGTATTTATACTGTATGACGCAGCAACCAAATTGCATATGAACAATTAATGTATATTTCACATTATGTAATGAAAGGGGACTTCATGAATCATCTCTGAAGTCATTTTTCAATTTGACGACTCTGTAAATGATAAAACAGAGGGAAAAAAACAGCCCTCAGTACAAGGTCTCCCGCCGTAGATTTACGAACCGATGGCGTAGCTTCTAAGACATTCATATGTGTTTGTAACAGCCTAAACTGAATAAATGATTCTGATTATGATTATTAAATAAAATTCTGGTAGTGCACTTATTTTTACTTGTGTCCATCCATGTCTGTGAATGATACCCGTTTTTTTTGTATTTCTGAATTCTGCATAGGTACAGAACAATTAATAATAATAATTAAATGATCAAGTATACTTGTCCAAGGTCAAAGAACGTTATCGATAAATTCATTCATCATAGCAGATGATACATACAAATGTAACTTTCATTTTCTCCCTTATATACCTACATAATTGAGTTTTCCTCGTATGATCATGTGATTATCTGAGTAAATATATGTCATAATTATTATAATACGGGCACCTCTATTACAGGGTCGTGGGTATTTAGGTTATCGATATTTATGTTATACGTTACTACGTCTTGGTTCAAGGCGCGGACACTATGTTGATATCAGCTTTAGGGTTCCTAACAAAAAGGGGGACAAAGGATATTATTTTTATTAGGTAATGTTTCTATTATATCGCACCTCCTCCGGTGCGACACTGTCACTTATGCAAAAACATTTTTTTTCAGGATGAGCGTTTAAAACTTTAATATCCCAAAACATACAATATTTAAAGATTTTTACGTGATGAAAAGCTTATACAGCTTAGCTATTCATCTTAAAAAAAAAATAAAAAAAAACTTTAAATATTGTATGTTTTGGGATGTTAAAGTTTTAAACGCTTCTCCTGAAAAATTATTTTTTTGCATAAGTAACAGTGTCGCACCGGAGGTGCGATATAGTATTCTCAAAACAGTAGCATCAGAAATCGTGATCAATTATTTAAGTCATAATAAGAGTTGCATAGATGCAGCCATCTTTCATTTTTAGATAAAAAGATACTAAAAGGATTCTTCATGTTGGCTTTGGCCCTCAAAGAACCGGGTCTCCATGGACCCGTAGCTGAAAAGCTATAAACATAATAATAATAGATTTTTGTCAAGCTATAGTCCTTTAGCGAGGTGGGTTTCGCTGCAAACATATAACACTAATAACTATTACAAATGCGAAGGTGAGTTTGTTTATTACGCTTTCACACCTAACCGATAGATTAATATGATATTTTTTTCATCAGAAATTTATTATACGAGTCAATGAAGACGAGGTTATATGCAAATTTTTACTTAAATAGGGGATAGAAATTGTGATGGAAAGAATACAGATAAAGTCGTAGCTATCATTATTGTTACATTTAAATTTTAATTCCATAAAATAAACGAAGAATTATACTCTATTCAACTTCGTCTGCGACAAAAGGTTATCATAATAAACCAATGTTTCTAAAACTTTTTTATCGAGAGTAAAGATGGCCGGTGTAACCAGACTTATAACAAAAAATCACATTTCAACGTAAATTATTTACTTTATCACTTCCACACCCTTCATTTTATTAGTATTATAATGCGTTCGAAGTTTGGGAATAGCTACAGTTTTAGGTCTTTTTAATGTAACTTTTTTTTAATTTGTGATTTTATGAGTATAAAATTTGACCCATTGAAAAACCTTTTTAGGATTTGTTTACATTTTGTCTCAGAGGAAGTTGAATAGAGTATTATTCTTCGTTTATTTTATGGAATGCAAAATTTAAATGCAACATTTATAATAGCTACGACTTCATCTGTATTCTGTCCAATACAAACTTCTATCCCCTATTTAAGTAAAAATTTGCATATAATCTCGTCTTCAGGGCTCATATAATAAATTTTCTAAAGAAAAAATATCATATAAATCTATCGGTTAGGTGTGAAAGCGTAACAAACAAACTCACCTTCGCATTTATCATAGTTATTAGTGTTATATGTTTGCAGTGGAACCCACCTCGCTAAAAGCTATGTACTATAGCTAACAACGTAGTGTTTTGTCTTTGATCATCGAGTCAAAATGTCATTTGAGTGATGTAAACAAAACACGGTGGAGAAATACGGATAAGTTGAACAATGAGCATAATCGGTTTCGCTTTCAATTATTCATCTATAATTTTGCAGTGACAGTATTTTTTACAGAGTGGTTTAAAAGATAGATGAATGTTTTGACATTGAAAGTTATGACTTATCCCCGTAAATTACAACGTTCATTAACAATTCATCCATTTTGTACCAATTTTTATAATTATCTCTAACTTGTTGATTCATATCTTTTAAAAACTTTCACCTATCCCTCATTTTAACAAACGTTACGTTAAAGTTACCTCAAAGGTTAGCTGAAAATACTGCTTTTAAACCTGGCGTTTTTAGCAGTGGGTTTATCGATTAGTCCACATAAATAAATCAAGTCAGTCTGGCTCACAGAACACAATAGGGGTGATGACGGGGTACAGTAAACGAAATTCTATTTAGTCCATCAGTTAGATGATCAAAAAATAATGCATACGTATTTTTTCTTTGGGCAATCAACCAAAAAATGACTAAGTTATAGTGAGTCAAAGTTTGGGAGTAGGGGCTGGTGACGTCACTTTTAAGTGAAAATTGTACCAAATCGTGACGTCTTTCGACTTTTCAAATCAATATATCTCTGCAATGTTGATATTATGTGAAAAAAGAAAAAATACGTGCCCAATACTTTTTGATAATCTACCTGATAAACGAAGAAAAAAAAAATTTGTCATCCTCCCTATTTTCTTCTGTGGTCTGGCCAATCAGCCTGTCAAAATTTATAGTTATACTTTGTATAGGTATGTAGACAAGTTCCTTATTGAATTTGTAATATGTGTAACTTTAATTTTTTAGGTTCAGTAGTCCTGACAAGGAAAGAAGTGAATATCAAATTAAAAAACAAACAAACAAACCCTTAGTTTAGTCATGTCCATCTGCCTGGCCGTCCCCGGTTTTGCTTGGACACTGTTAGCACTAGAGAGCTGTTATTTTGTGGAGATATGTGTATCAATCACGCCGACAAAATGGTAGAAAACAATTTTGAAAAAAAAAATTAGGGTAGCACTTGCAACCTGGAGATGTTTTTTTTCAATTGTCTACCCTATCGTGTGGGGTATCGTTAAATAGGTCCTTTATAATTACTTCGGGGTTTATAAGACTATTTTTCGGTTCAGGGATCGGTTTGTGAAATATTGAACTTTAAAGTGTTAATTTTTTTCGAGTAGGGCGTCCCACCCTCTCTAAAAGCTTGGCTCTATTGGCTTGAATAATCTGGAAAAATATATGACAATAGTCTTTTCCATGAAATTAAAAAAAAATATGGGTGCGTGTACTTAAGTACGCGCGCGTGCGAAGTTATACTTCTTTTTGGAATTATTAAAAAATAATTTTTAATTGCATGCAGATAATTAATTACAATAAGATAATAAAAGGATTGGAAAAGGATAGTCAACGCAGTCAATAAATTTCAGTTTTAATTTGAAAAATTTAATAAATAATCAAAATATTCAATTTAAATCACTACTGAATAAAATTTATTAGCACATATAAATTTCGCATTTGTATAACATTATAACACGTGTTAAGAATATAGAAACTAGAAACATGTGGATAAATATTATAAATATGAAAACAGTGATCAGAGGCGACGAGCGTCCCAACATGTGCGACTAAGAGATCCTTTTACTATTTTGTTGGAAGCTTTTTTTCGAGACTTACGAGTAATGTGCGGTTTAGTGGCCGACTTCATGGTGTTACTTTTCTGTTACAGTGTTGCGCGCGCATCTTAAAATTTCACTCTCATCATTTTTTCATAACGCGCCCGCGGCTAACTTCATTATGTTACTTTTGTGTTACAGTGATACGCGCGCATCTTAAAATTTCACTCTCATATTTTTTTCATAACGCGGCTAAAGAAGTATAACTTCAAAAAATTTAAAAGGTCATGAAAGTTTATATTTTTTTATGAAAAATCTTTAGAAGAAAACATTAATAGTGGCATAGATAGGCAACTACGGAACCCTACACTGCGCGTGGCACGACACACACTTGGCCGGTTTTTTAACTAGTAACAATATATGTTACTAGCTGACCCAGCGAACTTCGTACCGCCATAAAAATAGGGGCAGGTGTTAGAAAATTTAGGTTGTATGTATTTTTTAATAACACATTATAAAAAAATAAATATTGTCCACAAAAAATTTTAGGGGTGTGTAACGTAGTGTTTTATCAATTTCCTGGGATAACATTCCTCCTAGCCTATATGAGAACACTACGTTACAATACCCAATAGTATGAATTTTGGCGCGAAGGCGCATTGTAGGTTTCAGAACACTACGTTTCAGGTGGACGACCATTATCACTTAAGGATATGAAAAATAGATAGTAGCCGATTCTTAGACCCACGGAATATGCATATAAAATTTCATAAAAATCGGTCAGGCCGTTTCGGAGGAGTATGGTAACTAACTATAACATGGCCGAAAACTGTATATTGAGGAAGACAGGAGACCGGCTTCCTTCTCACAGTGAAGGCGGAAGATCAAATTAAATTGAGAAAAAAAAGAAATTATTAAAAATAAAAATCGCGATGGTAAAATAGGGGTTGATTGTAAAGGGTTGAAAATTCAGGGTTATATGTATTTACTAATGCTGTATCATAAAAAAAATAAAAAAAATATATCTAAAATTGAAAAAAATAATTTAGGGGGTGGATTACCCTTAACATTTAGGGGGATGAAAAATAGATTACATCCGATTCTCAGACCTACTGAATATGCATATAAAATTTCACGAAAATCGGTCGAGCCGTTTCGGAGGAGTTTAACCACAAACACCGCGACACGAGAATTTTATATATTAGATGCATCTTACTAATATTATATATGTGAAAGTTTGTATGTTTGTTACTCAATCGAGAAAAAACGACTGATGGGATTTAGATGAAATTGGGCAGGCATATAGTTTATTATAATAGGATACTTTTTATCCCGAAAATGTTGGGTTCCTAAGGGATTTTCAAAAAAATAATGTTAACGCGGACGAAGTCACAGGCGGGCGCTTTACAAATGAATCAAAACAATGCTTAAAATAAAAATATAATAAATCTATCTAATAAAAAAATATGTGAACAATAATAACATTGAGTTTTTTTCATTGAGCTCAATGTTTCTTTATGTTGTTTTAGTTAAAAATTTCCATAAAACATTATGAATGACACCAAGGTTTAGTTCTTTCAACACAGTAATACAAATAATTAGAGAATTATGAATTACTTTTGAAAAGGTAATCCCTTAGTCACTTTTTTATAAGCTTTTGTAATAACGGCTTAACTTTTCAAACACAAAAGAGATTCTTGGCCTTTTGCCTACAAAAAAAATATTTTTTTGTTTCTAACAAGTAAACTAAGCAATACGTAGATGGACAAAGGTTTTAATGTTTCGGCCTTGTCCGCACACAGTGGATCAAAGGCACCACATTTTATGCTTGTATTTTGGGCAGGTAAACGACATTCTCTAAATATAATGATATGCAATATAAATTATGGAGCGTCTTTAGTTCTTTCAAAACGACTAAATGATTTGTAATAGTCAATTATTTAAAAAAAAGTAAGTAAACTTTTGTTTTTATCATATCTGCACACGCATAGCTAAATGTTTTAAAAGTTTTTGTTTGTTCATTTGTTTGGTTAAACAAAAATCAACAATTGAAATAAATGTCACAACGATGAATTCTATATACGAAAATGTAGTTTATGTATCACCTTATTACAGTCTACAAGAAGATGATTTTAACATTAAAAAATATGAAAAAAAGATGCACACAGAAAAGTGGATATAATTTTATCCTTAAAAACGAAGTGACAATTTGAAAAAAGGTCTTGCATGTGATACAACAGCGAATTGATTGATAAAAAAATTACATAAAACACACTTTTTAAAGAACATTTTAATTACAATACTCGTAATCGGGATAAAGTACATTTAAATCTTCATACAGTTTTTATAATTTTGACGTCTTATGCAGCCATAAGACGTCACCATTTATATTTAATACTTAGTTGTCAAAGTCACGTGTTATTTAATTTTATGTCTATAGCAAATAAAGCGGCTGAACTGATTTTAATAAAATCGAGTGCGGCAATAAACGTGGGAATAGCAGGCTCAGTACCCCTAGCACGAACCATTATTGAATTCGAATAGTTTGCGAGTCCGAAATGTCGTGAAATTTTGTATGGAAACTTGAACAGCAGCGCCATAACCTACGTAACGAAAACTAAAAATCAGTACACATTTGACAATGATATTTCGTAGTTATTCGCAAACGTTACGAATTCGATATAGGATCGTGCTAAGGGTACTGTTAGGTAGTTGACAGCAGTACCTACCCCATTAAGTTAGTGAGTAAATACTTAAGTCCAAGCCAGAATATAATTCGGTAAAGGATTTTAATAACAACTTACGAAAGTACAATCAATACTGAGATTTTTCTTGCAGCAATGTAGTAGCATTTAAGTACTTACGACACAAATAAAGATAAAAACTTCTGTGTTTTAATTGATAAGGTTGGTAGGAATCTAAAATGATTAGCATTCTATTGTTTACTTTTATGTTAATGTTATCCGACAGATAGAAGATTCATTCATATTGCGTGGTTTAAACTACTGCGTACCTACTTAGGTATGTTAAATAAATTCTAATAGTTTACTGAGAAACATCAAAATTAGACGATTTTGTTGTTCGAAAATTCTTTTGATTATCCAGTTAAGTACGTCATTTAATTTTATTGTTATGTTTTCAATAAAATGTTAATTTTAAACAAATGAAGTTGTTCTGCAATGTAAATATTTTAAAAATTAGGAGATACGTGGGAAATCTTTTCAATATGGCTCCCTTTAATGAAAATTTATTCTTTGTACCTATTCATTTTCGTGATTAAAATTGTGTCATAATATAAGTACGTACATTAAAAAAATAATAAAATACCTAGTTACACTACATGCTACTAATCATACAAATAATAATATGTTTACCGATTTACACAAATAACATAAAATATACTTTTAAATTTGTTACGAAGCTGTCTGTTGGATGTGTTACAATGACTATTTTCCTTACAAACTGCAATTCACAATTGAAATTAAATTGTTGTTAACAATTTCAAGTCCAAGGTTACAGCAGGTGGGCAGCCTATACTGCACGATTAAACAGATGAGCAGCGCAGCTTGTCAGACCGGTTTCTACTAAAGGGTCTTTCAATTTGGTCGGCTTACACCTCTGTTTTGGTTCAGACAGCATTTAACCTTGACATAGAAATCAATTCCTCAATGGGGTTAGGTAATACTTTGATAATGACTTGATTTTCATTTATTAAAAGATGAGTATATTTCGTAGGTCCGTATTTATTTTATTCAATATTTGTTTATCGATTCATGGTCAACTGGTTTAGATGGGTCGATTATGGATGGTTCACTGCTATGTATGTTTCAAACGATCTTTATCGACATAATAATTTAGTTTAAACACTCTGCCGCAGAATCTTTTAACTATTTAAGAAAAAAGAAACCGTATATTTTTTGATAAAACGTCACTTTATACTTCACAGAAAGAAAAAGAAATTGACCTACGAACAAAGAAAATTAAACAACCTTAAATTTTTTTATTTTCATCCCGTGTGGACTAGAAATAATTCTTATATTTTTTTAAACTTTCACTTTAATTTGATATTCACTTCTTTAATTCATAAACATCACTAATATCACAGAAAAAGGTAAAACAATCACACTGTCTGGGCACGCCGGCAAAGCATGCGTGGAAACTTCCCGAATCAGCTGGACGATTTTTGAACATCGGAATTCTAGAACCAGCTCAACAAAATGAATACCGAATTTGGAATTCGAATCACAACCAATGTGTTATTTCAACACTGCACTACTGGTCCGTGATAATAATTATGCATACAACAAGTGATCCATTTGGAATGTTGATAGATTTACTGTAATAATTTAAATTTATTTACATAATATCTGCTCGTTTTATACCTATTATCATCGCGTCACGTTTTTCTTAGTTCTAAATAAATTGCTGTATTAATTTTTTCCATTTTTCCGATTTTACGACACACGATTAAAATGCGAAAAAAAAAATAAGTTATAACCGGCTTAAATTTTAAAAGAAACTATAGTAAAATTCACAACATACCTGGCCTTTCTTTCCAAGTCGCCGGTTTTCTCATTCCTTTTTAAAATAAAAGGCAGTCTGTTCGAAACAACAATCATGCTCCCTTTGCTATTGCACGAACTACGACTGACACAGTTCTTGGTGACACTCATGTTTTCGGCTTTTCCTAAGTACGTTCCTCTGCACGACCAATCACAGCAGCGCTACAGCGCATGCGCCCAAAAAGCGTGGGAAAATTTAAAATGTTCAGTACGAAACGTAACTTCACTGCACGCGTTTTGTCATTGCAAGTTGTGCGGAGTAAATGTACGTAGATAGGAGCTACATAAACATCGTCGCCCGAGTATGGAGGCGAACTGTCTCCGCATCGTGCGCTTGGTAGCTTTATAGACTACGTAAGTCGTGCGACATAAGGGCGAAGTTTTCTTGCGTCTGAGCGGAGGTCCGCCGCTGAGGTTATCAACTTATCAACCCGACGGCGACCCACCCCGCGTCGTCTTATTATCCGAGACTCGCGAATTTTTCTCGGAAACTCAACGCGGCCGTCATTGTTCTGTGAAATTATCTAGTTCTGGACACACTTGGTCGTAAAACTTCAATAAACCAAATACTCTTTGATTATTTGGTTTAACATACCTACTCAATAATAGATTTATAGAAAACTATACTTGGTGACGCATTTTTTATGCTCGTCTAGTCTAGAATGGGAGTCAAAGAAAAACATAGGATGCGTCAGCCGCTAACTTTCCTATAAAGATAGCGAAACCTATCAAACAATAGGGCATGTTAGGAAACTGTTAAAGGCGATATTGTAGTGATTATATTCAGAACCTCTTAGACCCATCTAATGCTAAATAAGACGCTGTTGAGATGTAGTTATATGAGTGGAGGTTCAAACATTATGACACTTAAGCTGCTGTAAATTTACCTCCCAACGTTTGCTTTTAAATTTTGCTATTATATTGCTATCTTTAATTTACAAATGAATACCTAAATATTGTTATTTGTCAGCAGATACTCCTCACAGTGATAGATGCGTAACAATATTTATCAATATTATGTTATGATTTTTTTTATTTTAGTAAACTTTGACGCAATGTTTGGCGTCAATGATTTATTTACCAGTCAATGAAAAATATGTTTTCTCACGGTTACTTAATTACTGTTAACAGAGGAAGGTTCTGTGGATTTAATTCCATAATTAAGACGCCCGACTTCAGCGAAAATCTATCCCAACAAAATAATTTTCATGTAAAATGTTGCCAAGACCATCTGTCAAAAAGTTATCAGATCTCTTGGCTCTACATGAGAATGTAGAGCCAAGCTTCTAACTCTATAATATTTTTCGCGAGCTGTGATCGACCTTCAGCACTGATCGCTCATCGAACCAACTGAGCCAGATTGGGCTCATTTTGAGTAGCGCCTTTTCGAGCGCGTATTAGCCTGTAATTTTTTTGAGCCTGTTATTAGTCTGATTGTTTACATCGAAAATAACCAGAAACCGCTATTTTATTTAAAAAGTTTGCTTTAGTACTTATTTATTTATTTTGTACACACACAATAAAATATTAGAAAAAAGAGAAACAAGAGACATGTACAAGAGCACTGCTTATTTCATGATGAAATTTCTTCCAGCAGGCCCCCGTACTTAATATAATGGTAAATAAATGTATGATTTTTGTAAAAGTTTGAGGGTAAGTTTTAATAAGCAAAAGAAAGGAGTGCAGAATGATATCGGGCATTGAAGAGGAAGCAGTCACAGTGTGTGTACACAAATTTCAGAGAAACGACGTATTTTGTGAGTCTTGAGCGGTAAAATGTCTTCCAAAATGAGTAAAAACTACGTAAACTCTATTTGCTTTATTTGCGGAGACTTCATGAAATTTAGTGTTATAAAATTTATTTATCCAGTATTAAAAGACTTAATTAAGCATATAAAGCTTAATTTTAACTTCCTATTCGAAGTCAGAACCAAATATAGGCGTCACATGAGGATTTACAAAATTTTTCTATGTTATTTTTGTTTACTTCACTACCAGCAGCACATTCAAAGTGTCGGAGAAAGAAATATAATATTAATTATGGTACATTAATTTTAGTAATGGACTATAAGCTTATTTTCATGTCGCCGTTGCACAAAAAAAATGTTTATTGAAACAATTCATTAATTCTCTACATCAAAATTCTGAAGTCATTTTTCCCTGAATTTTCAGAGACTAACAATAACAATAATTTCTAAAAATATCAACTTTTAAAATTAAATCAATATATTTTTTGTATTCATAGACTTAGTTTTATGTCTTAAGTAAATACAAGCTATTTGAATATATAAAGTTTATTTTCTTGTTATATATAATTCAAATTAAAAAGTTAGCAATTCTCTATGAAATTAAAAAAAATAACATTCTAATAGCTACAAAAGCAACGTTTTTAAATAAAAATATTGTTTCTTACATTAATTAGGTATAAGAAATTAAAATCTGGTACAAAGAACTCAGGCCCGTATTATAGAAAGATTCTCAGTGATTGATCTAGTCTTGAGCATAGTTAGAAAGTGATGTCGCTATATATAGCACATAGCGATATCCCTTTATAACTGTACTTAAGTAAAGATCAACACTTAGTTGTCATTCTGTAATACGGGCCTCAGACTCTTCAACTTCGTGTTGACTGGTTAATGAGTTGAAAACTTTTACCTGATAAGAATAACGGGTGAAAGAAACTTATCAGCTGTTTACATGAGTAGCGACATTCAGTTAGAAATATTTCGTTGTCAATACATTTTTTAATAATAAGTACCTATTCTTATTAATAAGATATGTGATTTAATTTTGTATAAAATATTTGATTGTAATAATAATCTATAAATTTGCCGTGCCCTTACAGAGCTCTTGTTTGCAACCTAACCTAACCTATACTTGTAACACCTATGTATACAATAAGATGCAATAAATGAATATGAATATGGATATGTATAAAAACATGAAAAAACTTAAGACCGTAGTTTTTTATAAATTGTGTTTTATTTAAAAAAAACTGTTTTATTATACTTCAAACTCAAACATACTTCAAACAAAAATAAACCGACCGGGGTATTCGAGAATTTTTCAGTACGTCGTTCTATTAGAATGTAAGTGTTTTCAATTGTGGTTTGTTGATAATTCACAATAAAAAAGAGTGTGGTAGGTCTAAAATAATTAGAAAACCTTAATTAATAAAAACTCATATTCACCTTTACCGATATTTTTCTTAATTATTAATAATAAAGTAATAATTTTGATTATGTAATCGTGAAAAAAAAGATGCTATAGAAAAAAACATTTTTATTTCATATTTCTTTTAATTTTTTTTACCATAGAAAAAAAACCTGTTTTTGCATCTGTATGCATACACCATTAAGTGCAGAGGATTAATTAGGAACTCTAATTATAAGTAAAATCTGGTTGACATGGGGCGCGCTAAAACTTTCCGTAATTGACTACTTTTACATTAATATTATTTAAAAACTAATTTTTACTTTACGATATAAAAAAATAATGGAACTTTTTAGTATTGCAATGCATTTTATTTCACCTATTAGTCACTTATTGGAAATTCTATTTAGGCACCGATTTAAATTTATTTAGCCTCTTATAAATAAACGAAGACTGAGCATGGATAAGTTACTCTATGTTTTGTATCTGTTCATTGAATGACAAAAAGCACTCGAGTGATATGAACAAAACACGGCGTAACTAAGCTAACATTATTTCTCGTTTGTTAATAAGGGGGCAAGGGTTTAACTCGTGATTATCGTCGGAGCTTGATTTCCAAGTATTAAAATATACCTTTTTATTAAATTGAAAAGCTTGATTGCTCCAGTGGTTAGCGCGTTCGGCTGCGGTCGTTGAAGTTGAGCAACTTTCGCAGTGGTAGGTCATTGGATGGGTGACCAAAAATTTACTATCTCGAGCTCCTCGGTGCTTCGGAAGGCACGTTAAGCCGTTAGTCCCGGCTGCATCTGCAGTCGTTTGCATCCACCAACCCGCACTGGGCTCGCGTGGTGGGTCATGGCCCATTCTCCCTAATCCATCCATAGGGAAGGCCTGTGCCCCAGCAGTGGGGACATTAATAGGCTGATGAGAGGAGATAGGGCCGTGACCCACCACATGGACTCAGTGGGTGCTAACGACTGCAGATGCAGCCAGGACCAACGATTTTACGCGCCTTCCGAAGAACGAAGGAGCTCGAGCTAATAAGTTTTTGGTCATCTATCCAATAACTGACCATTGCGAAAGTTGCTTAACTTTCACGATACCAGGTTGAAAGTACTTACCACCTGCGCCATCGAGCTCCACAAATTAGTATATGCTATTTGTAAACTTGATTACCAGTATCCCCTTTTAATTTATTATCTATATTTATAACATTTGTCACGTGAAGTGCCAGCATAGAAAAGTCAAAAATATTTCGCCACGATTAATGGGATTTTTATCACCAGAACAGGGTTGTTGCAAATGTATACATTTCCCCAAGATGATGAGCAGTTGGCACATTCTATGCTTCTCTTTAGTTCTCAGTTCATCATAGTTGCATAATAAATATTTACAACTATTTTAACAACAGAAAAGTAACGGAAATATGTATCTTCCGAAAACTCTTTGGTCAGTGATAATAATTGTCTGTTATGATTTATGAAATATATCTGATTGTTTTTTACTATAATTTCCAGACTTAAATAGATTTACTTACTTACTGTTAGGATATCACTATCGTTTTTTTTAAATCATAGATTTTAGGCATTAAAACAGTTATAGGTCAGCAGCGTTTGCATCTCACCAAACTCCATTTACCAAAAAAATTTTTTTTTCAGGTTTCATTTCAATTAAGTAAATATTATTTTATATTACTGTAGGTATATGAGTCCTCTCATCGTATTAAACAAGTATAGAAAAGGTTCTAGCAATTTCCATAATGGAGTTGGCAGTAAATCTAAGCGGGTATACTTACTTATGTTCGAAGAATTGCATTAATAACAAATGCACCACTTCATTGCTATTTCTTCTGAATGTTTTATTTTTGAAAAGGTACCACATTCAACATTTACATTTATTATACGATTTGTAGCTACCTTGCAGCCCAAGAAATACATGATAATCATAATAATCATAATAATCATAATCATTTATTCAGTTTAGGCTGTTACAAGCACATATGAATGTCTTAGAAGCTACGCCGTCGGTTCGTAAATCTACGGCGGGAGACCTTGTACTGAGAAGAACCGGCAAGAAACTCAGCAAGGGCTGTTTTTTTCTCCCTGTTTTATCATTTACAGAGTCGTCAAGTTGAAAAATGACTTCAGAGAT